CTTCCGTGTTGTTTGTTCAGTTCAGAGGTTTGTGTTCTTCTAAGGACTTTATCAGTATGCAACCGGCCACACAGGCAAGAAAAACATATTTTGTATTTGCTTTGTTCCTTTCCAGTGTTGTGTTTTGTTGATATTATTTAACGTAAAAGCTACAGCCAAGAATCAGATTTCTGCTAGTTTCTGCTAGTTAGTTAGCCAGCGAAGAGACTAACAAAACAAGGTTAATTTCTTGTGGCTTTTGTTGTTTTCTTGTGGCTTTTGTTGTTTTCTTGTGTTGCCCATTGTATTAATGTGACCCAAAACACACTTTTTTTTTACTGTTTTCAACCAAATGTAACCAACGCAACGGCACAATGTGGACCTAAACCTATTTACATGTGTTATTTAACACCCTTTGACCACATAACGAACACATTTACTTGTTTTATGTCGAGGTTTGTGGTACACACGTGTTGCTCTTCATGGTATGCATATGTCTGATTTGAGAGTGTGTGTTACAAAGCTGCAAAAACTCCACATCAGTGCCATATGGTTGGCTAGTTGGAGCTTCTTTGTGCCACTTTCCTTTTATTCTTTCTTGGAAGCAGTGTGTTAACATTGTATATAGGCTGCATATGTAGAATCAGGATGTGACTTTTGTTTAATTTAACTGGTTATTCACAAAGCCTTTCCTCTTCAGGTGAATATGATGACAGATGGAGTCCTTTCGCGGGGGTTATTTGGAGTGAGCACTTCAGGAAACTTCTCTACCCTCTGCCCCAATGGCTCAAAATGGGTCTGGGAAGGTCTCGGGGAATGTGCCCAGGACGGGAGGGACATGGCAAGCATCTACCTCGGCCTCCTGTCCATCCTCTGCTTCATGGTTTCTTCTCTTCCGTAAGTGTCTTCGCCTCTTAGAGGAACTTCTCTTTCATAAGAGGAACTTCTGTTGTATCCGAACATCGTGTATAATTCTCTGTGTTGTTTCTTATTGCAGGCAGTACTACAGTTCGTGTAAAACGGGGAATATGGACAGCGCCCTCTCCATTTGGTTTCTGTTGCTGTGGTTGGGAGGAGACGGCTGTAACCTGGTGGGCTCCTTCTTGGCAGACCAACTTCCACTTCAGGTGACTTGTAGTGAAGCAAACATGATTTTTCGCAATGTATTGCGAAAGGCCCTTTTTGACGTTACCTAGATAAACGCATCACTAACAATTGCGATATTGCACTTTTTTTTATTGAGGCCTTCTGTGTTGAGCTCATGGTTCAATTGGTGTTTCTCTCCGTCTTCCAGACATATACAGCTGTTTATTACGTTATGGCTGACCTGACGATGCTGGCATTGTACTTATACTACATGACGAAGAACAGAATGCGGCAACGTAAGTGTGCTTTGTGTTCTAAATATTCCGTTTCACAACTAAAGATGTTTTTTCTTTGTGCCATCTGAGTGTCAGTGCCTTATTTGCATCCTAGTGCCTCATTTGGTATCCTACACCAAGGCCTTTGTTAACATATAGAATGAATAACCCCAGACATGCATTTTATCTCCAGGTGTAACTGTAGCCATAATCTTTATTGATTGAATTACTCCCTAGGTCTATTTCTAAGATTAGTATTATCTAGTGTTTTCGTGAAAAAGCTTCTCTTATCAGCTCTGATGAACATCGATCCATCACAAGGCCAGACAGAGGAAGAGGATAATGACTGCACCCCGTCATGATGTCCTCTGTGGCGTTTGTTCCCTCATGGCGACCTTTGGCCTCACTGTCTGGAGGAATGTGCTAAGAAGTCTTTCCAAGTATTGATGCTGAGCCCTCATGTTGTCTCTCCCCAGGCAGGATGGTTCTGCATGTGGCGGGGGTAGCCTGCGTCCTGGGCTTCACCTCCAGCCTCGTGCACCTCCCCGGGTCAGGAGCCCAACAGGAAGTTATTCCCTCAGAGTTCAGAAGTCGTGCCCTGCTCTCAACCTCTGACCTCAGTGTTATCAAGGTGAGTCATGAGTAGGGATGGGTATCGTTTGAAATTTATCGATTCCGATTTCGATTCCGGTTCTGCTTATCGATTCCGGTTCTTATCGATTCCCCGTTTCGATTCCAAAATTGTAAAATAAAGAGGTCAAACGTTTAGATAACAAAAATATATTTATTCTTAAAAGCTTTAACTGAAATTGTTACTAAAAAATATACATGCAATACAAATGTATTGCACAATAGCTGTGCTTTATTTTAACTGAGCTATGCCTGTGGCAAGCTATTAACAGGCATTACACTTTGCCTTTTCTTTTTCTTTTTTAGTGTAGTGGAGCCTCACTTCAGAGTGTTTACCGCGACCTATCTTTGGTGTTATGAAGTGACTGAGCTCGTGAAATGTCTACGGGAGGGCGGGGGGGGCATCGCTGCGGGGCAACTGTGGACCTCTGTCGCCTGTCAGCGCAATTTATATGATGCCGTTTTAAAAAAATGAAGGGCGGTGCCGGCCGTCAGCGTACCGAGCCGGCCGTCAACGGCCCGCTGACGACCGGCCGTTCTGTGATTCTCCAGGTCCGCCCTGTATTCCACCGGGTCACCGCAGCACCGCGGTGCAGACGGACCCGCTGGAATACAGGGTCTACCGCGTTTAGGAACCGTTAAGCAGAACCGAAATGGTGTATTTTGTATGGGTACCCGGTACCCGGCATTTTCTTATCGGTTCTCATCTGGAACCGAGTTTCGGTTCCCAACCCTAGTCATGAGTTTAACAAGTGACCTGAGGGAAGTCAACTGTTATGAGCTGTTGTCACGTTGTTGTGTCTGCCTCTCTGTCGCTGCAGGCGTTCAGCCCTAAAGAGATTATTGGATTCTCCATCGGCTCTGTGTCCTCCGTGCTCTACCTCTGCTCCAGACTCCCCCAGATGTACACTAACGTGAGTATGACCAGTGCTACTGGCTGAGTACTACTACTCATAGACATTAACTGGGACTACTAATACAAATATTTACAGGATGAGCATCCTCATATAATTTGTTATATAATATATATATAATATAATTTTCTATAAATTACTTTATGAACAATACACTTTTAATAAAGTTTTGTAGTCAGGAACAAAAGGTGCATTGAGTAAATTATTTAAATGAAATATATAGTAGCTGCCAAATGGGAAATGTAATAATAATTTACATTCCCAAGCCTTGCAAATTGTGTTTTAATGTGTTTTAATCTGAACAAGATAAAAAAATTGAAGCAAAATTGAATGTAACCCATCCGAGCGAACATTTGTGGTTGTGCTGTAAAACATAACATTTCCCCCAAAATGCTTTAAAAAATGTTTTTCTCACTTTCTCCCCCGCCCTCTGATTTATTCCCACAGTACAAGAGGAAATCGACAGAGGGAGTGTCTTACTTCCTGTTTGCACTGGTCATGCTAGGAAACTCCACATACGGCCTGAGTGTCCTGCTGAAGAACCCTGATGAGGGCCAGGGAGAGAAAAGCTACATGATCCATCACCTGCCCTGGCTCATCGGCAGCCTCGGCACCCTCTCCTTAGACGTCATCGTATCCTTTCAAGAAAAAAGGGCCTCCAGGTTCTCCTTAATCTCAAGTACATGCTACATTTTAGTCAGTGCTCAGCTGGTTGACAGGTCACTTCATCAGAAGAGTTAGGTCACATGACTGTGTCTGTGGAAATACAATATAGTCTCAAAGGTCCAAGCACACAGGGGGAAATGAGCCAAGGCAAAGAAACAAGAAAAGCAAAAAGCTGCACTAGGGCCCTCTGGAGGCCATCTGCCTCTTTGCACCCCACAAGTGGTGGACTGACTCTAAGGCAGGGGTCCCCAAACTTTTTCCTGTGAGGGCCACATAACTTTTCCCTTCTCTGATGGGGGCCGGGTCAGTTTGTAACAGAAAAAGTGTGACGATCGCATGGGTGTCTAAACGTAAACATTTATTGTTTTCTAGAAAGCCACACATAACCAAATATTAATAACCCTTTCTGGGATCTTCACAGAAAAAAAGTCAGGAAATAAATAATAACACTATTAATGAAATAAATAACACTATTTATGAAATAAATAATAACCAAATAACCCTCTCTGGGTTCTTCACAGAAAAAAAGTCCATTGAAAATTACTGTAACTTTCTGTTGTGCCGTGCACAATCTTAACAGGTAAAAGTTTAGCTTAGTTGTCAGAGCAGAATCTCTCAAAATAAACGTGGATTTACGTAAAAAAAGGTGTCGGGTGTTTTGTTTGATTTTAAACAAACAAAGTCTTGGCTTTCAGAATATGAAACTTTTATTTCCTATTTATTTCTCACTCGCAATCTGCTCTTCCGCAGCGCCGCCCCCCCCCTCACTCCGCTGAAATTATGAATGTAAGAGTATAGTAATCATAGATAACACTGCAGGGTCCGTTACAGTTTGTTTTCATCTGATTTCAATTAAACAAAGTCTTGGCTTTCAGAATATTAAACTTGTTTCGGCAAATTCAGATGATAAATACAACTTTGAAGCTTCAGCATAATTACAAGCGGAGAACGGAGTAACTTGACGTCACAGCAGGCATAACAACAGCCGGTGTTTCTCGTGATTGTTTTCCCCGGGAAACAAACACAATACACACAAATGCAAAATTACACAAGCACACACACTCACACACACACGTATACACACACACTCGCGAGCTTCCCCTCCAAACAAAAATATCTTCCCTCGGTAGTATTTTGATCATTTGCTCTGCTAATAATCAATCAGATCGATGGATTCCAGAGAAGAGACAACTTTGAAGGCCTTTTTCTCAAAATGATGACTCGGTGACAGTCATTATATAATGTGACATATTTCGCTTAATATTTGAAGTACAAAAACAATCTTGATATCATTAGAAAGCTAGGAATATCCTCTTTCCAACAGTGTATTCAACTCAAAAGGTGTCTTCGGGTCAATGCGACTGATTTAGATAGAGCAGGTCACAACATTTTGACAGGGGCTAGTCTAGGATTCGCGTGGCCAGACTGAATTATTATTATTTTTTTTTAAATTTAATTTAAAAAAAAATTAAAATTAAAAAAATCATAATGCGTCTCTGGTATTGTTCAGGGGGCCGGGCCAAATGTGGAGGCGGGCCGTACCCGGCCCGCGGGCCTTAGTTTGGGGACCACTGCTCTAAGGTCTTACCTGGAGGAATGAAACTCCAGACTGCAGGAAGAGGGAATGAAAATCAAAAGCGTTGGCACGCATGAATCAGGATCAGATATTTTTTTATCTAATGTATACAGTCAATGGATTATTCGTGTTTTTTTTCGCCAGAGTTGCTTGCGTACGTGGAGAAATAAACCAGACACTGAAACTATTGCTAAATAATGTGGACATACATATCCTGTTTAAACAGCCCAATTGGTTAACATGGGTCCAATTTTCTTAAATGATTAACTTTCAAAGGTAGGTCATAGTGTCCAAGAGTGCTATATTTGCATTTTTTTTCAAATGGAACCCCATAGTAATAATCTCAAAAAATGTCAATGTCTTTGGTAGGTTAGGGCAGCATATTTGTTTGCCTATTTCTGTCCTAACCTTGGAGACCAAGGCGATATTGATTTAGTATTTTTACACATATGTGTATGTCTGTAACCAGCTGAAAAGAGAGCTTTAAAACTAAAAGCTAACCATTGTGAAAGTCTGCAGGCCAACAGAGTTTCTCATTTAGCAGCTGACACATACAGTGGTGTCTGACATTTTCACAGCCAGTAATGCACTGGTCAGGTGGATTCTTATGTAGAGGATTCCCCTCTCATTCGCACCACACATAAAAAACATCACCCGCACCGCCTTATTTCATCTTCGGAACATCTCCAGACTCCGCTCATCTCTGTCCCAACCCAGCACTGAAATCCTGGTCCACTCATTCGTCACATCCCGGATTGATTACTGCAATGCACTTCTGACTGGCCTTCCCATCAAGCTCCTCAATAGACTGCAAATAATCCAGAACTCTGCTGCCCGGATCATCACCCGCACCAACTCATCCGACCACATCACCCCCATTCTCACTCAGCTACACTGGCTTCCTGTACGTTACCGTATTGACTACAAAAACATTCTACTCATATACAAAGCTGTCCATAACCTTGCCCCCATCTACATCTCTGACCTCCTTCAGGAGTACACCCCCTCCTGCACCCTCTGCTCTTCGTCCGTAGGACTTCTCACCGTCCCAAGCTATCGCCTCAAAACCATGGGTGCTCGAGCTTCCAGCTGCTCGGCTCCCAGACTCTGGAACACCCTGCCACTACACATCCGACAGTCTGATTCCATAACAACATTCAAAACCCAACTCAAAACCCACCTGTTCAAACTGGCATTTTCTCTATAATCTGTACCCTGTGTCTTTTTGTAGTCAATTTCCTGTTGTTTGTCTTGTCTTACCCCGGCTGATACTTCACTAAATCCGCTGTTTTAATTTGTAAGGTAAAATTGTAAATGTAAATTGTAAATCTGTAACCCTGTAAGGTGTCCTTGGGTGTTATGAAAGGCGCCCCCCAAAATAAATGTATTATTATTATGTTAACAATGCTAACAAAGTTGACCAGTTTGGGAAGTATTTAATCACTTTTTCAAATAGTACGTTGTATTTGTCATCATGGTGCGTGTCATTAAACAGAATCTCTTCCAGGATTCCTTTTAATTTCCTTAACGCTGCGGCTCAGATCTCCTTCCAGTTCCTGATTTACCGCAAAGCCAAAGAGGAGGTCGGCAGCAGTCACGGAGAGACCGCGCCTCTGATCGGAAGCTAAACCGACAAACTGAGTGTGGGACGCTCTCTTCCAGTGAACCCTCAACATCACATTGCCAACAGAATCAGGATGAAAGAACATTGATTTATAAATAAATAAATAAAATATATCTTGATTTCATTTATAGTTATATTTATTATGCTCTTTTTTTTTTTAATGTTTACAATGTGTTTTTATCTGCCAAAGTACTGTGACAGAGGAAGTTCTTCACTTGTTTGACATGGATGGAAACTACTCCTGTCAGCCTGAACTTCTTCTCTTTTAATTTTTCGGTCACAGCCTCAATTTAAATTCACGTAGATTACGTAGAAACCTAGCCAGGGCGACCGGACCACACAGATTCTTCTCTAAATGTATCTTGTTTCTCTAACCTGCATAACACTTTGACAGTTATGACACTAGCCCTGCATGAAGCCCAGTCTTACCCCAGTGATGGGTCAGAGCGTAAAATAATGTTTTGTAAAGCATGACCAAGTGTAAATTGTACTCTGTCAATTTTTTCATTGATATTTACACCAAGTGCTGTAATCGCAAAAAAAGTTGTATATTTTTTGTTCATTTTAGATATCTTTTAATTGTAGTTATACATTTCTCTTTCTTTTTGTAAATACAGACACTTGACCAGATTAGTTTGCACTGGTGATAAGTCATTTAGCACCACCATGTTTAATTGACACATTTTCGTTTTTATCATTCTCAGTTTTGCACAACAAAAGTCGGTTTTGTACTTTGAGAAATGTTGATAAAATGTTCAGTGAGCTGTAAAAATAAAGAATAACATTGAATTATTTTCTCTGTGTTTTTATTCTGGATAAATATAGGGAGCCATTTGTACGGGCCGAAAGGTGATCAAAAAACACTTGCATGCAAATATAAAAACAAATGTGCCAAAATACATGCAAAAGAAGAAACATGTCTACCAGCTTGAGAACACGTGTAGGATTTAGAAAGAATCACCAACTTGATGAAACATGGGCAGCGTTTACTAAAAGTGAAACACTGAGAAGCTCAAAACACAACAGTAACAGGGACACTAAAAAGTGATGCACACATCTAGGACTGGGAACGGAGGGTTTGGTGAGCGGGGATTATAAAATTACTGGGGAACTGTCACTGGAATGGACGTAAAATGTACGTTTTATTGGCTTATTTTAATAATGTGATTACTTCTGATAATAATGCAGATCTGCTAGCTAGCTAACGTAGCTAACCTAGTCATTTTAATTACAGCCTACAGACAAAATACTTAGCCTACAACTATGAAACAGACCAACACTGCAACACAACAGTGACGGTTGGCCAATTGTATAATCCCTGAATGTAGACCATAGACTGTATATATAAATGTAGATGTAGACCCACGCTGTGCATCACTTTTTAGTGTCCCCGGTTTCCGTTGTGTTTTTTTGTATTTGCAGCGTTTTGCAATTGCAGACTAGTGCTTTGTATTTGCATCGCTTTCAGTTAACCATGTGCATGTTTCGTAAGGTTGATGAAGTTGGTTTGCATGTGTTTTGGCAGATTTGGGGTTATATCATCGTTTGTCAACCTGCAGCGTGGTTCTCCTTAGGAAGTGTTTTGGGCTGTTGCCACTGTTGGTCAGATTCTCCTGATTGTCTTCATAAAAGTGTTACTTTTTTATTAATGGATTTTATTCTAGCTGCTTCTCTTGAGAATAACTATTCAGAGTTTTTTTCTCTTCCCTTCCCACTTTCTGTTTAGCCCAGCAGAAGCCAAGGCCTGCCCTTGGCCTTGATGTTGACCTTTGACCCTTTGCCTCTGCTGACCTCCACCCTCAGTGACCGAGTTCGAGCGGCTCCTGGGAGGCCCTGACAGCCGTGTTGTTTTTCATCATTAGCAGATTCACGCTGGCCTTTCAGATGCACCCTCCTCCCCCAAAACACCCACGCACACACACAAACTTTCCCCTTACTATTAAACATAATGCAATCACACACACTCAGAACAGTAAGGGCCCACCCACCAAGGAAGCAAGGTCAGTACAGAAAACATCATGGGTTCACTGTGTGTGTGTATTTTGGGGTGGAGGATTGTGAAACAGTGGCAGAGAGATTGTGAAGGGGGTCGGGGAGTTAGCAGGAAGAGCCAGTGATAGGGAGCATGAGCATCCATCCATCACAAGGGATGAACAAGAAGCTGTTTATAAACACTCTATACTGGGAATTTTTTAATGAGATGGTTTCAGTTCCTAAAAGCAGGGCAGAGGGGGTCTCAGAGGTTGGCAGTTCAAATCCCTAGTGCAACCAGTAAGCCTCATCCTGGGAAATGTCATAGGGAATTTTTGATATTTTCAATTCTGACGTACGTCGGGACATGTAGCCTAAAAACGCTATTGTTCCCTGGCCTACCTTTTCATGTCTCCCCAATTATTGCCCATCAAATGTCTGTTAATGATTCACCTTCTCAATGACACTTTTTTTCTTTCTGAAAGTAGAAAAAAGAGGATCTTTGGTCGGGTTCCCACATGTCCAACTAAAACACACATCAAGAGCAGCTGTCTGTTTACTCTGTGTGTGTGTATGAGGTTTGAGTCTGGGCTGGACTACAAAAAAGTGAGAGAGTCGGACAAAAGGGAGAGGACATCGGGACGCTCGGGCGCATTAAGAAGGCTTCCATCATCAACGGTGAGTCCACAATCCAGATAACTGCAACATAAACAGAATTGTTCATAAAATATCACAATGAAGTTTTATATTTGTATTTCTTTCTGCTGTACTGATTTCAACGCTCAATTGCCATTTCAATGCAATTCCAGCCAGGATAGATCTGCAATGCATTTCATTACAGATGTTGCTCATGATGGCCAGTTGAGCATGCTGCATTTAGGTCTGTTGCAACTACCATATGACAATTTACATTCCTACTCATGATAGCCAACCCCCCCACCACACTCGCTAACATACGCTCAGACATAAGCTATCGACTTTACTCACGAACACAGAGGCCACTTTTAAAGTGAGCGTTGGTTTCCTGCGAGGATCAGTAAACAATCCGGGCCGTTATCGAGCTGCAGCTACCAGCCACAAGCTCTCTGATAAAGGAGCTGGTTTCATGAAGAAAAAAAACAGGATTTATGATGTGTTGAATTTATCTTCAGGCTTGTTCTCTGAGTGATTCAGGAGTAATGAGTTTAAGTTACTTAAGTTTCCAGAGTTTTAAACGTTGCTGTATTTCTCTGGTGTTCACCTCATCATTGTGTCATTGTGTTGAGGAATCTTTCCACAGAAACAAAACTAATTTAACTAAAGCGCCAGAGTCTAATTGAACTAACCGTGCCCTAAAAATATTTCCCTCCACTTCCTGCTCTTTTTTTGAATGACACTCCTCATGTCATCTTCAGGCTTGTGTCCAACAGTGTGACACCTCAATAAGATCCATGGTGACATTTGCACACTCTCAGATATTGTCCCCATCGTTTAGTGTCACTCCCAGCTCTGCTGCCTGCACTCCCAGAGGTCGGAGTCAGCTTGTTGTGCCTCCTCCTCACATTTTGGGACACAACATCGCTATTAACTGGGAATTAAGAGCCTCTACTTTAGCAATTCAATTACATTTTTTGCATTCATCAAGATTTCTTTAGCATTATCAAGAAACCTAGAACGGATCTGGAGCCGCCCTCCACCAAGGCCAAGTGCTCTATCTCACAATATGTTAGTAAAGTTATTGTATCTGTCCATAATTGTCCACTCCAAACTGTAATGGTCCATTACACCCTCCAAACAAGTATGATGAAATATATGCCATTACCATTCCTCTTATCCAAATCAAAGAACTAACCAAATTGAGAAATCTCCTCCATGCCAGGTAATTTAAATAAAATTAAACAAGGTTCTAACTAAAATAAAGTGAGTTGATGTTAAGTCATTGGTAGTTATACATTTGTAAGGCCATGCTAACACTGCTAACGACGCCGGTGATTCCCTGATGTTTCCTAAAAATATCTCAACAACCTTTTGATGACTTGGCATTCGATTTGGTCAACATATTATAACGTTCAAGGTTCCCAGAGGATGAATCCTACAGACCCCCTGACTTTTCTTCTGGCCCCTCCATAAGGTGGATTGCCATTCAATTTGGCACACAAATGCATGCCCCCCTTTTTGTGATAACTTTGATGGTCAACTGACCTTTCCTCTGGTGCGCTCACAAGGACTGATTTTTTATTTACGCAATACTTTTTACATTTATGAATGGTAATACCTGCAGAAATTATTACATTCCCATGATTTAAAGCTGTACTTTGTGTTGAGTGCTAATTAGAAAATGTTAGCATGCTAATGTGCTAACTAAGATGGTGGAAATGGTTAAACAAAACTATGTCAACTTTGTCAATGTTAGACAGTTTGGCTATCGTGTTGATGTTCAGCTCAAGGCTGTGATGTATTCAGTATAGGCCTATACATAGACCGAAATATCCGTAGTCTAGTAGAATTACAACACTGAGAAACAGAATAATAACATTACATCAATAAAGCTTTGAATTGCTCCTGTAATGCTGTTTACCTTTATCTTTATGTAATCCTAAAACATTCAAAGTATTATATCAATGTAGTTATTAGACATTTGATTCGTCACCATGTGTGTTAAATTCATCCAATCAGTTTGTTTTCGACACATTTAAGCTTGTTGCTTCTTTCTCTCTCTCTTAGTTTGTGTTTTTCGCTGACAGAACAATTTATTGATCGTCGAGCACTGTAGTCACATGTGTACCAGTTTACCCTTTGGACACAATCTTTAGAGGAATGACACGGTGCAGTTAGCAACCGAATTCCACTGAGATCGATCGTGATTACTACATTGAAGGCTGCAGTTTCAGTGGGCCTTCTCACCCTCCCTGCTCTCCCCCGGTAGTTCCTGGCTCCCATAATGAGTCAGTGAAAGCCATGATATGAGGGTGGGAGTACGCCGTTAATCCTCAGTAAGCATGCTGCATGTCAAACAGGCCTGCTCACAGATTTACAGGACAGCGTAGAGGTCTCTTCCCTGTCTCTCCTCTGGTGGTTCAGGCCTCGACTCCTCTCGCTCTGCCCCGGCCTGGTTAACTGTCTGAGGGGGAGGCGGAGGTCCCCGAGCCCCTTAAATCTAAATGCTGTCCAATATTAACTGCAGCACAAACAGAACAGCGGTAAACAAAAGAGCAGAGTAAACACACTCCCGTAGGCTTAGAGGACAAACATGGACACACACACACACACACACACACACACACACACACACACACACACACACACACACACACACACACACACACACACACACACACACACACACACACACACACACACACACACACACACACACACAACGCATTAATGGGATAGTTCAGAATATCTTAAAGTGGTGTTGTATTAGATAGCTATGAATCCCAACCAAGGTATTAAAGGTGTTTTAACTTTCCTGTATTGTTTTATATAGGTTTTTTGCGTATAAATTGTCCGCAAATGCTCTAATCCAAACGTATCCATTGGACTCCTTTGTTTACTTCCATAATTTATTGACATCACTATGTACCACTCGTGCTGCTATTGGCTAGTGCTTCAACACTGTACGTGATAGGCTAAGGGGCGGGACATCTCCAACACATCTCAAAGCGGTTGACCAATCACAACCGAACCTCTCAATTAACCAATCAGAGCAGACTGGGCTCTGGTTTTAGACAGAGGGTGAAAAAAGTGGCTGCCGCACAGGCAGTATGAGAAAAATAAAGACCTTTTGAACATTAAAGGATGTTAACATGTCACAGTAGAGACATAAAATGCAAATATGAAGCTGAAAATGAGCAAATTAAGGCCCCTTTGAGTACAGTAGAACAGGAGTACCAGCACATTAGGCAATTTACTGTTCTTTAGGAAGCCCTGAAAAAGCTATACAAATCTATTATAATTCAAGTTTACACTATTAAAAATATTTTCAATGTTTACCTTGCTGACTGGGCGCAAGGGAACTTAAGCCTTACGTGTGCCATCCCTTAAAATCCAACAGAATTCATTGAAAAAACAGTAATTTTAGCAGACCTTACTTATTGCAGCAACATCTGTTCTGTGAGGTGAAGTTTCAGGTTTTATCAAAGGAGTCTGATGGCTTTCAAGAGAGAATTAAGACAAAGTAAAGTGGTGAAAATATTGAAAGTTTAAAGCACATTTAAACTGATATTGATATTTCAGGTGACTGACTATGTTCTGCTTCTGCTCCTCTTTACAGCAGTAGGCTACATTGCTTTGCTCAGCGCTGCTGCTCCTGTCTGTTTTTCCAAACTGGGGACATGCCAACTTTCATCCTACCTCATACAATACATAAAATCATCCAAACCATCCCTTTAAGACTTGTAACTTTTAACAATTGTTTTAATGACGTAAATGATTGTATGTGTCATCAGATTAAATTGACAAAATGTTCGCCTAGGCCAGCTGTTGCACTCTCGGATACATCCAATTAGGCCAAACCTTCACACACTCTGCCCATGAGGGATATGTCTCCCTCCATGCATCCCTGCAGCCTCTTAAGTCTCCGCCAGGTTTAGCTGTTTGGACCAAAGTCCCATCCCTGTCATCCTGGGTGTCCCTACTTTCCCTTTTGTCTACCCCCCTGAGGGGTGGTTAAGACCTCCTCCAGCACATCATCCACCCAGACCTCAGCCTCAGCTGCACTCGTCCTCTCTGCTTTTTTTAAAAATAGGCTGGGATATCAGTGTGGACAGCTTAGAGACCTGGACACATCTTGGGGATTGAGGAATGTCTCCCAGACCCTTCATATCTGTGTGAATCCTCCGAGTAATCTGTCTGTGTGTTTGTGTCCATGCATGTGTGTGTGTGTGGAGATAGATCCCGTATTACTAGCTGGAGAGAGGATCTTCTGTTCAGATGAGAGAGTGGACCGAGTTGGACATGAGTTTTTCGGCAGGGGGCTTTCTCTCCGCCTCGGATGGTTACTGCTCCACAGAGCCGCTCCAGTACTATGGTGAGTCCTCAGTGACACTTCTCTCCCTCCCTCCCTCCTGACTTTATTTTATTTTGCCTTTTACTTTCTCTTCTCCCTCTACTTCCGCTTTTTTCTGCTCTTTTAAAACAAAGTATGTGAAATAGAAACTCTTACAATAATAGATAAGACACTGAAGATGGACTAATTAGGATTTCTTAGTTAGACTGTTGGCGTTTTGACACTGGAAACAGGAAACACTGGATATGCTGTCATGCTTCGAAATGTGTTATGTGCTATCAATGTAACATTTTTAATGCAAAATACTTCCAGTGTTATCAGTCCATGTTCAATTAATTCAAATGAAGTTGTGTCATTGGTAGTTATAGACTTATCTGCAATATCAACAGATGCATCCTCTGTTTTATACTGTTGTCATTTGCTCTCTAACTGCAGATAGTTTTGGTTGAAATGCTCTTTGTTCTTCAGGTATTTACTGTGAATAAATAAATGTTCTATAACCACATTTATATAAAAAAAACACATCTCATCTGTAATGTGCCCATGCCCCTTTGCCCCTGGTTAATCCACAGACCATAGTTTGTATATTAGGGACTATTTCTTCAGTGGAATGTAGTTCCCAAACAAACTGTGGGTGAATTGACCCTAGTCTAAACTGTGAAAATATATTATGTTACTGAACAACATTAATGGCCATTTACAATTTATGGTATCAGAGGTGAGATGCCATTTGTTCTACATCTCAGAAAAAATTACTTTTTTAAAAAGACGTGTTGGTTGATTTGCGTCCGATATTGACTTATAGTCCCACGATGTAAAATGTGAACGATGAAAATATCCATTCTTCTTCTCAGAAATGAAAGATTGAGCTCATAGGCAAATCCATTAATTAAATCATTACACTCAGGGTTTTACTGCTTCATCTTGTTCTTGTATGACTAGGGGCCAACCTCCAGATGAGAAGTGAAACATTTGGGGTGCATAAAAGCTGCCTCCTATCTATATTTCAACAAGGGCAAGTCAACCGGTTGGAAGAAAAAGTCCAATTGAATAGAAGTCTATGAGAAAATGACCAAGTTGTAGGGTGACCAGGTGACAACAAATCACATGTGGGACAAAGAGTGTGTTTGTGTGGGACAATGCGGGACATGCTACTGCGATGGTAACGTAAAGTAGTACAATATGACCTCCATCTAACCCTAACAAATTAAAATGTCTATTGAAACTATAGCCTATAAATATGAATTACATTGTTTGCACAAACTATGAAGTAAAGAGCTTAAAAACATTCAGTTTGAATGGACCTGGTCACCCTACCAACTTCTCACTTGATGTTTTTACTTCAGTATACCATTTCCTAAAAAAGTGTCAAATTCGAAAGCTTTAACCCGCAGTCCACAAACCAATCAGGGACGTCACGGTGACTTGAGCTTATGGTGGCTAATGTTAGCTTAAGCAAACTACGGGTAGATATTGCTGTAAAACAGTCTGCTGACATTGTGAATGTTTTTTTACTTTTATATTTCTACTGTAACATCACATTTGCTCATTTAACATCATACTGTGATTGTCACAAAGTGTTGATTTAAATAAGTAGTTAATTATTGTGTTGCACAATGAGGACGTGACTGCTCTCTCACAGTTGATGAATGAACACCAAGCGTTTATTTACCGCCTTTGAGAACTTGCTGACATGAGGAGAATAGTTTTTGAGGAGGTTCAGCCGGTGTGCATCAGAGGATCTATTTATACTGACATGTATCATCAACAAGTCCCCCAGTTGTCTCCCCTCCCGGACCTCGGAGCAGAGGGAGGCGGGGGGCTATGGGGGGTCGCTTGCTGGTGTTGTTTTGCTCCCTGGTGTGCGTGGGATGGAAGGGAGGCTGAGGAGTGTTTAGACAGTGTTCAAATGGTTTACAAACAGTGTGGAGCACAGCTCTGTTACATGCAGAGAAACCAAGGACCCCCCCAACCGTGGTCCACACAGTCTGCTGAAGACAGGAAACATCTGGAGAGAGAATGACAGAGAGGACAAAAGGAAGGAGTGAGGGGGGGTGGTGACAATTACTCAGGACAAGGGTGTTGATCACTACATACACTGGTTTCTACTTCTACTCTCATCTGTCTTTTTATACAAACACTGGGGTCTCAAATCTGAACATTTTAAAGACTAAAGATCGTAAGGGCGATGCTGGCTGTGTTTTTTGGTGAGAAAGTTTCACCAAACATCTTGTGGATATGGGAGAAAATATTTCATGTGTTTGGGTGATGAGGAGATAAGCCGGGAACATGGGATGTGTTACTTTTTTCTGAAAACGCTGTAACTACAAGAGAGCGAGATATTTCAGAAGTCTAACTGAGACTCGATATTAGAGGGTCAGGAAAATAACCCTGATTCGGACATCGCAACCTTTGTCAGTTTTGCCATTTTGCTGCTAAACCCTTCGTTAATACAGTTGGGAACCATAATTGGGGCGGGAGAGCAAAAGGTTTCGATTAAACAGAAAACATTTTTTTTTTAAAGGCTAAACCCTAACAAATGGCAATTTAAGCTGAATATTTTGTATTTGAATTTGACAGAGGTGGGAAGTAACTAAGTACATTTACTCAAGTACTGTACTTAAGTAACATTTTGAGGCACTTGTGCTTTACTTGAGTATTTCTATTTTATGCTACTTTGTACTTTTACTCCACTACATTCATTTAATACATTTATTTAATTTGCAGATTTGGATGAATGATGTGAAATATAATCAACCCTTGCATCAGTCAAAGTAACACTTTAATGCATCAATAGATATAAAACACATCATATATATTATTCTGAAATGGGCCAATCTGCAGAATCACTACTTTTACTTTTGCTACTTTGAAGGGCCCATGTCATGGCCATTTCTACTGATCATAATTCCATTGTTGAGGTCTACTAAAATAGATGTATACTGTGCAATACTGTGCATCTCTATATAGTATGTGTATTCACCGGTATTCACTCTCTGTCCTAAACGGCTTGTTGGAGCTCCTGCCCCCCCTCCCTGTGAGCCCAGTGTGCTCTGATTGGTCACGACGTTGAGAGGCTCGTTGCTGCTACGAGCTGCTGCGAGGAGCGGACAGGCTTCCGGGTTGGCGATACAGCGAGAACAAGCGAAACTCATCCTGAGCACACACAAACACTCACAGCCGAAGTAAAAACAATAAGTGTGGCTTGATATTGAGTAAGAAAAAGGTTTATAACGCTGTGAGCATGGGTCTGCGGAGAGCATTTCTCCGCAATCCCAACTTAGCAGCCCGAAAAACGTTTACCCATTTAAACAGTCGTGGTAGATACCTTGTTTGTTTTAAACATCATAAATACACAAACAACAATGAATACTTACAGGTTGTGTACCCGAATCTCCCGCTAGTCCAAACAAAGTAGTGCCCTACGCTGTACATATCCGGCATGAATTGCTGAAAGGTTTGGGAAGCTTTGTTTCGTGAAATGCTGGCAGAGGGTGCGCCCTCTGGGTATCCCCACATCAGAGTAGGAAGTAAATGAGAAATCTACAACGAGGCGTTTTGGGGCAGCATAGACTGTTATAGTTTTACTCCCTACGGCCTACAGGGTGTACTTTGAGGGTTTTTGACTCTGCAGACCGTTTACGTGCATAAAAACCTTCATAACACACAAGGGGACGGGTAATAACCGGAAAAACATGACATGGGACCTTTAAGTAGTACTTTTCCACAATTTGTTGTTCAAAGTTGCATACAATAATTGGAATGTGTTTTAGGAAAGCTACTGCAGATGTTATTATTGTCATTATGGTTATCTCCCTCAAGCCATACTAGAGACTTGACATGATTTTGACCATTATTACGTTTACATCTGGCTCCTGTGATTCAATCACTTATCACCTTAGCTTAAAAAAGCTAAATGGAGTGTTGGATGGTTTCCCTGTCAAAGCTTAAAGGCACACTTCGACCCTAATTTGACCCCACATTATCAGATTGACATTAGCCCTCATCTTGCCACATGTTCAATCATTTTAACCTCTATCTCCAGCAGTCCTGAGACTCCTGACAGTCAGCTGGCTCTCTGTTTAATCGGCTCCTAACAGATCCCACAGTCGTCCTGGTCCAGCTGCTCTTTCAGAGGCTGCCAGTGGTCACACATGTTTTCTCAAAGGAGACAGGACGAGCAGAAAACAAGCTGCTGATCCACACTCAAAGACGTTTCAGCCCATCACAACACTGAACAACCACTACAGGGCTGCATGAAACCTCCCAAAAAGGGGATCAAAAAATCCTAAATGGCACTGGGAGCTCTCAGCTGCATCCTGTTGCGGAAAGTTCAAAAGATTTAGAAAGATTTTTATTATTTCCCCAAAGAGCCATAGAAGCAGTGAAGTCACACAAGTCACGTAAGAATACATTCCTATGACGCACTTTGTAAAGGCGTTTAGTTGACGCTTGAAATGTTCATTCATGACTCTCGCCATTTATTTTGTTGTTTTCAGTATGTGTGACCCGTTTGAACTGTTTATGGTGTTGACCAGATTCCACATTTAAGAGACCTGTTGGGTCATGATGCTCCTTATGTGTGTTTTATCCAGCTCTCTGTATCATGCTTGCAGTTTGACTAGAAAGCAGTGGCTTCTCTTTGAACAGAAAACACAAGCAAGAGCACATTTACACCCGACTGTCGTCCCGTCACTGGCTTTCTTTATTTTAAGGATTGATTTTAAGTCTTTATTGTTTGCTGACAAATCGATTGCAGGCTGGCTCCAACCTGACCTCTCTCTGACCTTTTTCAACCACATCAAGGTCACTCAGGTCTGCTGACCAGTTATTTCTGGTTGTGCAAGATCATGATTGAAGCGCAGGGGAGGTCTCTCCCTAGACTCTGAAGAGTTACCTCTGCGTGTAAGGCTGGCTATACACTGCCTAATGTGTCAATATAGACATATGTATTCCTTGGGTTTTATTATAGTATGTGCTGCCTTATCACCTTTATTATAATGGTCATGTTTGTAAGGTTGGTTTGTCTGTCTTTCAGCAGGAAAACAGGAAACACTACTAGGTGAGGGTGTTGGAATGAGCCTAGAAATAACTCATTACATTTTAGAACCGATGTAAATCATGGGCCAGATGCACACAATCTTTTTTCCCTTTCAGAAATGGCCTCAGACCTTCTCGTTCTTTATTTAAATGTAACTAGTCTTTTGTCTTAAAGTGGTCACTGTGTGTTTCATTTGTTATTTTCTGAGGGATTCTTTTATTTTTTGGTGTTGGCCATAACTGAAAGTTCCTTTACATGTGGCCTTTAAATGTCAGATCAGGCTGCCTAAAAATGGTTGCTAGCGTCCTTGCTGGAAAAACTGAATCAGATCGCAAAGATACAAACAAAATACAAAGAGCCTCATTTGAGTTTGCAGCTTTACAAAGTTTATTCATTTCTAAAACTTTCTTTTTCCATGTCAGACATGCTGGCGGACCCTATGGGCTACCCCCTGCAGGACCCTGACCTCCAGCTGCTCCCTTACAGCCAACAACAGTACAGCCCTGCCAACCTACCCTTCTCCCTCTATGGCTCTCCACCTTCCTCCACCTCCTCTCCCTCCTCTTCCTCTTCCTCCTCACAGCCCTGCCACCTCCCCTACCACTACAGTCATCATTGTCTGGAGGCCCCCTGTGACCCCAGCCCGGAGCCCCACTGCAGGGGCCTCGCTCAGGGGCTCGGAGCGGTGGGACTGCCCCTGGGGCGGAGGACGCGGGTGGGGTGTGGAGGGAAGGGCAGAGGCCAGGAGGAGCTGTGTGTGGTGTGTGGAGACAAAGCGTCAGGGTATCACTACAACGCTCTGACCTGCGAGGGGTGTAAAGGTAGTTCTCACTTTTTTATGCTGTTTTTTTATTTCTTGGAAAGGTTTTTTTTTTTTAACCTCGCTCTCTTTCCTTGTCTTGACTTGCAGGTTTCTTTAGGCGTAGTGTAACCAAAAAGGCGGTGTATCACTGTAAGAGTGGCGGTGGCTGTGAGATGGACATGTACATGAGGAGGAAGTGCCAAGACTGTCGGCTCAGGAAGTGCCGCGCTGTGGGAATGCTGGCTGAGTGTAAGCAAGCACCATTGCCCTTTTAATATGTGAAATTAAATATTCAACTTTATGTTATAAAAGAAAGAAAATAATGTATATATCATCCTTAAACAAAATGTTTTTATTTAACTCAAAATGCCCATTTTCTTCTCAGGCCTTCTGACGGAGGTGCAGTGCCAGTCCAAGCGGCTGAGGAAAGGAGGAAGGGCAGAGGACAGGAGGAAGAGGAGAGCCCAGAGAGCAGGAGGGTCAGCTCCACCAGCAGGCTACCTGGACAGGTAGAGAGCAGGACTCACTCTGATTGGATGGTTGCCATTTATTTTCATGCTAGCTTCATAGCCCTACGGATCACAGTGTTGATCTGTCAATTGGAGAATTCTGGTCCAGACTGAAATTGGGCAACAGTTCCTGGAGGTACTGCTATGCCACTTTGTACAGACATTCATGGTCCCCAGAGAATATATAATACTGACTTTGGTTATCCCCTTTCTTACTTTCTTTCTTTACATTTTGGAATTCAAACTCTTAAAAGCTCCTAAAAGAAGTCTATATCATTTTTGTAGCCAAAATGCTCCGATCTTTAAGAACCATTCCATTGGAAACTTTTTAAATGGTTTGATCCCATGGCCATTGCAACAAATATCCATGCATTATATTGTATAGTGCTTTGATCTTGAGTCCTGGCTTCATAATTGTATAGTTGTTGTTACTGTTTTCCATCAGATTTTTTTTTTATTTTAATGTCGAAATTGATCTGATGGAAAACATATTATGGCCATAAGCAGTCTTGCTCATTGATTCACAACATGTGCCTACAACGGCCTGATACATAAGCATAGAAGCCGCAGGCAGAAAAGCTATGGCTCTTGGCAAATGTATATTGTTTCAGAGTATTTCCTCAAATCGCCCAGCCCCTGTTGGTTAAACAGTCGGATTGTCATATGTTTTTTAGTTATCAAATGATCAGGTTGGTTGTTTGTTAAGTGGTTGGTTGCCTGCCGACAACATCTTTGGTTATATAAATGGTTCAAAATATGATCACATTTTTTTTTTTTAAGGTTTGAGTATATTTGGCCAACATGTTGTTTTGTTACATCTCTAATTGGTTTGTTGGATAGGTAATTTGATGAATCAAATATCAGTTGTATAGCTGGTTGGATGATCAAGCACACCTGTATAAGACAATGGTAAACTCCCCTTCCCCTTAAGGTGGTCAGATTTAAACAACATCATTTAGCTATTTCGTTAATGGTCATTTGTTAACTTTGTTTTTGCTCCAGGCTTTGTCTGTCAGTTTAACCCGAGAACAGAGGTACATTGTGGACCGGTTGGCGGAGGCCCATCGACTGTACAGAGCACAGGACACCAGCGACTGCAGGGTGGGTCACACATATGTGGAACAATCATGTGTACATCTGAAAGCTAAAAGAGATATATTCTTCATGTTGGTTGATCTTGTGCTCTGTGCTCAGTTTGAATGGCCATGTACAGAAGAAATGGAGGGCTTGTCTGATTTCATATCTCCCCACATGCAAAGACTGCTACAGTTTGCCAGGACAGTGCCAGGTAAAGTGGAGAACATCTATATAAAGTATATTTTAATACAATAAATACATATGTTTATAATATTAATATAGTCTCTTATTAATGGGAAATATTCTCAAAGGAAAAGGACACTCAAATGTCAAAGAGTTTAGTAGGAATTTATCACATTCTGTAATAAATGATACAATCCTGTAACCATAAAACACACAAAATCCACATTTAAAAACAAATCATGGTGTTCCCCTCACAGGTTTTGATCTCCTGGATTTTTCAGACCAGAGATCTCTGTTGTCTGTCTCTTCATTGGAGGTCATGTTCCTGCTCTCCGCTCAGCTGTTCTCCCACAACCCAGCATGCCCCAGTCCAGGTGAACACACACACACACACACACACACACACACACACACACACACACACACACACACACACACACACACACACACACACACACACACACACACACACACACACACACACACACACACACACACACACACACACACACACAACACACACACACACACCACCTCCCACTTGAGAGTTCAGTCTACGGAAGCCCTGAGGGACATAACATGGATTTTTTTTATTGAAACAGGGGGAAATAAAGTTATTTTACTTGAATCTAGTTAAAAAGTGACTTGTTTATATGATTTGAGCGAAAACAGATTGGATAAAAAATTGGATGGTGACATTTTTAAATTGTCAGGATTCTTTTATAAAGTGTTTGTCGTTGTAATACTCATTTTGTTATGTTAACTAACTTTAGGTTGTTCTTTGGCAAGGGATGCATTTGAATAAGCATTAATTAGCCGTAAGCATTACCTCAAAAGACAAATGGACAATTAAACTAGCCGTTAGTGTTACCAAGGTGGTGTACTTCAGCCTCCTCTGCGCGAAAGGAGCATTACAACAACACTTAAAATACATTTTTACCTGGCAAAACATTTATATATAAACATACCACCTATTTTGTAGATTAAATAAAAAGATGATTTTGGAAAAACCCTTTTATTTCCCCATAAAAACAGAAATGACAACAATAAGATCAGACTTAAAAAATGGAAAAAATAAAATGTCATAGCTTTGTGGCTTCCAAACACTTCATTGAAAACAATTGACTATTTTTCTCTTTCATCAGCCCTGCAGATTTTTAGTATGTCATCACACAACTGGCTGAGAAATGTAGAGTCAAAGGAAAACGTCCACAGTAGGATGCTGCCAGTCAACTCAGGTACATGCAGACTCACTCAGAAAACATCTTAAAGGTTGGAAATTAAATACAGGTAAATTAAACAATATCCCATTTCCTGGTGTGAACAGGATGCAGTGAGAATCTCCTCGGGCCCGTTCTCAACTTCTTCCACAGCATGGCAGCGCTGCGGGTGACGGAGGCAGAGTACTCCCTGCTCACTGCGACAGCTCTGCTCTGCTCAGGTCAGACCAGAAACTCCCTCTGAAGGAAACTCTGGGATTTTAGCCTTTGCAGACCATTTACATGCACACACTATAAGGAAGGGAAAACCCAAAAGCATACAAGCCCCTCTTTATGTCTGTAGGATACCTTTTGTAAGCTCTGCCATTCCACAACACTTAATTCAGAGTGGTATTTTGATCATAGTGGTTTTTGCCTCCTATGATTTGCACAGTCAATATTTTTGCGATTCTGATGACATTCTGATTAATTGCTCCAAATAACACAAATTATAATAATTCAAATGAAGTGAAAATGAAACCTTCCTTTACCAGCTGCAACTTTAAAATGATTACATTAATGCATCACTTCTATTATACAATATTTATTTATTAATCATAGGGTTTTTAATTCTGAATTGAATACTTTTACTTCCGTTTGTTTATGTACATTTTGATCCAAATACTTTTTGAATGCAGGACTTTTACTATATTCTTTAAATTCAATTTTAAAAGGTCTAAGTACTTCTTCCACAACTGGTGACCGTAGACTTCATCAAGGCCTAAAATGGCTCTGCTGCTATTTTAAAAGCCTCACAACTCACAACTGGGGAAAATACAAATTTGTACCACAGGTTAAAGGTAGGTAAGTTTGAGAAACCGGCTTGAGATACACTTTTTGTTATATTATATGGAATGCTCTTAACATCCCGATAGCAATGAATATCTTAAGTGCTTTGACAAAAAATCCATAAAATAGTACTGTAAAAAGCATGACCAATCCAAAATAACTGGATGGCCTTCAGCCTTCCATCTGTGCACAAACGTATCTCGTGCCCTCATTGGTCATGTGCGCGTTTGTGTGTGTTGGAGGTGGGGCTCTGTAAGGAAGAGGCAGATTTTTTCCGGCTGTGTATTTTCAAATTCTAGTGCACTCGAGCTGGTTTCTCCAAAATTACCTACCCAAGCTGTGGTACAAATTTGTATTTTCCCCATTGAGTAGCTGAGTCATTCTACAGAAAAGGTGGAATCTGGGTGATACAAATCTGCTGAAATATATTCCTTCTAAACACATCTAAAACCTGTTAATTAGGGATGCTCCGATCGCCAATTTCGGGGCCGATCGCCGGAATCAGTATCGGCCGATACCGATCGCCGATTCGATTGAGTGGGCGGGGCCTAAATGGAAGATTTAAACATCACTTGAAATCTTCCATTTAAAGTGATGTTTAAAACTCAGTTAATGGGGCTCATTCACTGGAGCTTCCACAAACAACAATCAACTTAATTATTACATTCAAATGATGTACATTATTCAAGTTTACATTCACTTTGGATAATAACACGGGAGAAATTAGCGGAAGCGCTCTCTTTTCCTCTCTCCCTCTCTCTCTCCCTCTCCTGACAGCCTGTCAGTATCTCATGCAGCTCACTGATCCAGTAATGAGTGACCCGACAATGAAGAATAAATATATTTATAATAACTAGTTTAGCTTGTTCCAGAGGTAGATAAAATAGCTAAGTGTGTTAGGTCTAACTCTTACGGAGCCTACACACGGCGGCGTGCGTTGCCGCTTCAACGCTTCTGCCCATTCACTTTGAATGGGGTGACGTCACGATTCGCCGAACTGCATTGTGGGAGCAAAGCGTAGCTTCTCTCGCGGTGCTCGATGCAAAAGTAGAGCAATGTTCTACTTTTGCCGCCTCGACGGAGGCGTCAGCCAATCAAATCCCGCGTATGCAAATCTGACATTACAAGCGCTAGCCAATCAAACCGCGTGTATGTTGGGAGAGCCAGACCGCAGTTATTTCCCATATGTCAAAAAATGGAGAAGAAAATGATCGTGGCGGTACTATATGACCAGTCCCTCTTTACATACAGGGATACAAACCGGAGGAGGCCAGGCATGGGGGGAGGTGGGCAGAGACAGTGGGTGAAACTGGTAGGTTTTCGCCTGTTTGGGGAGTTTATATCCAGTGTACTTCGTTTGAATGGACAGCTAGCAAGCATAGACAGTATATTTAGCCAGCATGGATGTAGCATGAATGCTTTGCTTTGTATGTCTGGGGCGGGACATTCATGTGATTGGTTGTTGGTCGCGTTGTTCGTAAAAAATCCCCAAGCTCCAGACACGCCCACCGCCAAGCGGTAATGCACGCCGCCGTGTGTAGGGGCCGTTACGGCCCGTCCACACAGCGGCGTGCGTTGAAGCTTCCAACGCTTCTGCCCATTCACTTTGAATGGGGTGACGTCACTTTTAGCCGAACTGCATTTTGGGAAGCGACGTGGAGCGTTGCTGGCGTAGCTGGCGTAGCTGGCATCAAAAGTTGAGCAATGTTCAACTTTTGACACCTCGACCCGTTTATGCAAATCTGCCAGTACAAGCACTAGCCAATCAAACCGCGTGTATGCTGGGAGAGACTACGCTGGTCATTTCCTCATATTCAAAAAAATGGAGGGAAAATTCATTATAGCGGTAGTGAATCACCCGGTGCTGTATGATCAGTCTCTGTTGATCTACCGGGATACAAACCGGAGGAGCGAGGCATGGAGGGAGGTGGCAGAGACAGTGGGTGAATCTGGTAGGTTTTCGCCTGTTTGGGGATTTTATATCCAGTTTACTTCGTTTTAAAATTGCTATTGCTTTGTATGTCGGGGGCAGGAGATTCATGTGATTGGTTGTTGGTCGCGTTGCTCGCAAAAAATCCCCAAGCTTCAGATACGCTCACCTCCAAGCGTCAACGCACGCTGCTGTGTGGACGCTCCGTTACGGTACGTCCACACAGCAGCTTTTCAAAAATCTTGAAAATCTTGGAGCTGGGCGTGTCTGAAAGCTTGGGGATTTTTTGCGAGCAACGCGACCAACAACCAATCACATGAATCTCCCGCCCCCGACATACAAAGCAAAAAAAACCCGGGGATTTTATGCGAGCAATATATATATATATATATATATGAACTCCCCAAACAGGCGAAAACCTACCAGTTTCACCCACTGTCTCTGCCACCTCCCTCCATGCCTGGTTCCTCCGGTTTGTATCCCGTTAATAGTTCTGGTCGTAAAGAACCGGGTGATTTGCTACCGTAATTTCTCGTTTGGAATATGAGGAAATTAACTGCGGTATGGTTCTCCCTGTGTGTGTGTTTCGCTGCGCTTACCGGTCCGGCGGGCGGAGCTGCAGGATTTGTGCTTCACACACGTTGCATACCGCTATTTTATTGTCTTTTTCGGACACCTTAAAATAATGCCAGACCGGTGAAGCCATTTTGGCGAGCTTGTTTTGCCGCACACAGAGAAAAGTGTCATGTATTTTACGTCATGCGATCGGCATGTTTAGAGAGCACCGATCGATCGGTAGAGTGAGTATCGGCCGATATCGATCGGAGCATCCCTACTCTTAACTTGATGAATCCACAACAAGTAGAGCTTAAAGTATTTTTTATTATTTTTATACATTATAGAAAGCATATTTATATAGGAACGTCACTGGGGTTACGTGTTACCAGGAAGAAGAGTAACACCAGTGACGGTAACAATAGAAAACACTACAATTTTAACAAAATGGCTGCCATGTGTCAGACCAAATATGGCTTCAGTCAATATCAAAATCGTTTAACTCTTCAATACAATACATTTTCCCATTCAAATGTTCACCCCCTAGGGCTTATGACATGAGTAACACTAATGACAGACTTGAAAGTAAAATTTGAAGATAAAATGACACCTTTTAACAAACAAAGTAAGAAGTATTTGACTTTCCTTATGTCTTTGTCCACTGCACTGCCTCAAATGATCTCTTGTTAAAGGAGGCACTTCAGAGACAGTACATTACTTCAAAAATAAAGGCGTTTTGTGTAGCAGTAACACCAATGACGTAATTTTGGGTGACTGACATTTATTGGATATTATTAATAATAATTTGCGTTTTTTTACCATTTCAGTGTTATATTTAATGTATGTAATGTTATGTAAATATTAATGAGATTTATTTATAGAATTTTTTTAATTTTAAATGAAAACTACAGGCTCCACAAATCAAAGTGACAAGGCCCTTGAACTTGGCATTTTAAATAGCAATTTATGTATAAAACCATTTTTTAAATGTGTTATTTAGTACCATTGCAAAGACAATCTCTATTTATTCAACATATATAATAAATGTGAGTATTAGGTCAATGTCATGTATTTTGGTGTCTGCAAAAGTAAGTGACAGTACTTCCACCTTTTCTGTAGAATGACCCAGCTGTTTGGCATCTTGAATGAATCAGACAGATTTATGTTTAGGTCTTATTAACTGGCACCTCTCTGTCCTGCAGACCGAGCTTCCCTGCAGGCTGCCAGCTGTGTTGAGAAAATGCAGGAAATGATCCTGGACCTGCTGTCCAGAGTGTGTGGGGCCCAGGCTGGAGCTGCGCGAGGGGGACCACAGCGGTTTGGCCGCCTGCTGGGCAGACTGACGGAGCTACGGACCCTCCGTCACAACTACCTCCTCCTGACGAGACAGCAGCTCAGACAATGACTGGGAGGACATGGTGGAAATAGGGAAAAACAGCAACACAATTGCTGTAAGAGCTGGGCAATTTTACAAAAACATTTGCGAAATTCCAAGGTTTTATCTGATATTGATAAGCCTGTATTGGATTATATGGCCTCAACAACAAATCTTTGACCATTTGCTCAGCGGACAATAGTCCAGCTTTCATTGAGTTGAAGAAAGCTTTTGATGGGACTAAGATGTTTGCGGACTGCTAATTTGTTTGGACAAATATATTTTATAGGTACTTTTATAACTGGTGTATGCAGCTTACATGTAATTGTTACTCACTATGCTGTTGTAAAAATAAAACCAAAAGTTTGAGTGAAACCCGGGACTAAATGGACAATACTTTCTCCAGACCTGTTGGCTCTTTCAAACATTATAATCAAAAGGTAAGACAAAAAAATGTATACTGAAGTATGTCAGAAAATGGAATTACTGTCGGGAAAATAAATGAAGTCATTGTGTATTATGTTAATAAATATGCAAAACGTAATAGCATAGTTTTTCAAAAACATGTCAAAAGGCGCGTTCACACCGGAGTACTTCTCCCCGTACTTTTCCCGTTTAGTTCCGTTACCCTTGTGTCGCGTTCACACCAAAAAGAGTACTTTGCCGGGAACTTTTACCCCCATGTTTAGTGCCTGCTAGAGAGGTGGTACCAAAAAAGTACCAATTTCTATTGGCTGGGCGGATTGCAAACCACGCCCTGTAAAACTCTGAAATGTTTTTTGAAGCCGCCATTGTATTTGCTGGCATTAGCATTATTAGCATTAGCCCCGCGCACCAACGGAGAGAGAATAACTTATGGCAACACAAAAAAACATGGGAGCGGTGGAGTGATGAGGAGGTGTCGGCGTTCTGGCGATTTACTCGGAACGTCCCCAACTCCGGGGACTTACGGCTGGGGACTTCGGGTGCAATTCGCCCAGCCAATCAGAACTGGGGCACTTTTTTCCCCCAGGAGAGTACCACCTCTCTAAACATGGGGCTAAAGTGCCCTGAACCAAGTGAACTTTTTGGTGTGAACGCAACAGGCACTGGCACTAACGGAACTAAAGGGGAAAAGTACGGGTGAAAGTACTCCGGTGGGAACGCGGCTATTGTGTAGTTTGTGAAAACATTTCAAAAACTAAATCGTATAGAATGGCAAAAATATCAGTCATTTAAAAAAATGTAATAAGTAATGGGATAATAATTATATAATAGCTTTTGTCTAGACATGTCTTTCTTTCAAAACAATTAAATGTATAGGTATTTTTATAACAGCTAACTTGCAGTTACAGTACTGTTTGAGGTATCTGTGTGAATCATTGTTTGTAAAGTATTTAAATATCTAACAAGTGATTATAATTGAATAATGGAAGAGTGTGAACTGATCCCACATTTGCTTTTTTTTTTAAATAATAAAAAGACTGCAGTTAAGTATCCCAAAAGGTTTTAATAGAGCATTTATTTCCCAAATATGGAAATACTGTTTTAGACAACATATTTGGTGAGCAGGTAAAATATGCAGGTAGTACTACAAGCTTATAAGGTGTATCTTTCCATTTGATCAAATGGGGCTCTGGACAATAAATAGAATCTTCTGGGGGTCAGTGGTGAATGATGGTGGGGGGTCTTGAGTAAAATCATCGTTAACATCAAACCAAACATGATCTAATCTGTTAAAATGTTGACTGCATTTCTTTAAAAACCTCACTCACTTTAAATAAGATTTAATTCTCAAAGTTCACCAATATATCTTTATTTCTATAATTCTGTCATCCATAAATAAATTATTTCTCTGTATCAAAAAGAGAATTCAGATATAAAGAACAATGGCTCATTGTGTTGTATGCTCTCAATGTACACACAAACACAGCACAATGAAATGACGTAAAGACGAGCGAAGCACACTGCAGCACATCAGGAATTATTCATCTCCGCAAATATACGCAGCCTCGCTTTGCCCCTGTGGCTTGATTGAAATACGCATTTTAAAAACAGCAACATTATATTAAATTGGGCCTGATAAAACACATACATATGTACACAAAGTGTGCCTTAATAATATACAAGTGTCTTTGTAAAAGATTAAAATGTAAAAAGCTATTGTATAAAAGATGGCAGTGATCCATTCATACGTCTTCTATAAATATGTCAAATCTCTTTTCCTGACAATTTGATTCCTTGGCAGTAGCATCATACAAAATAGAGGGGAATTATTACATTTGATCCACAACACATCTAGGTGGAGTAAGCAGATACCTCGATACGTCCCTGAACAGGGTTTAATGCTTACTGACGCAGCAACGCAGGACCTAAAGGGAACTTCATCCCCCCCAACAGGAAGGCAAACACCACCGCTGTGTGTGTGTGTGTCACACACACTAGTGGTTTGGTACGACAGTCCAGGACTCTGTGCTGTGGCGACCTCTTCAGATCGCAGTGTGAATACAGATTCCACTCGAGTAGGCCCACCTGCTGCTTTAAGACCAAGGGGGAGATGCATAGTGTCTGAATGGGCTCTCAGGGCTCAGCGCGCCCCCTACAGGTAGTTGGAGGCCACGAAGCCGTGGCTGTGGCTAACCCGGCTCTGGTGGATCATGGCGCGGTCGTACGCCACCTGGACAGACTTGCGGATGCTGGTTTTGCGGCCCTCCATTATCCGCAGCTTGTCCGCTGTGTCGTCCACACCCAGGGGTGTCACCTTGTCACGTTGCAGCCACTGCCTATAGGACCAGAGACACAGGTTGATGATGTCACTGCTTTGGACCCATTGCATGCTGATCCTTGTGTTTAATATAAAGATGTACAGAAAAACTATACAGATATTCATTATTTTTAAATAAGATAAAATTCAGGCCACAAAAAAGCAAATGGAATAAAATGATGAAACAATTACTGAATAATAATAAATGTATTTTTCTTATTAAACTGTATAGGCTTATAATGTGATAACAAATTAAATTAGATCTAAGAAACAGATTGGTCTTTGTTTAAAAAAAAAAAAAAAAGTAACACTTCTTTACCAAGGATTTTATTTTCCTACAAAAACTAGTTATTATGTAGGGATATATATATTTCCAAATTAGATATTATATATAACGTTTGGGTCTGTTGAAACTTCAGTCAATTTGTATTAATTTTACTCAGAAGATTCGGTCTTGTTTCGATTCTAAAGACCTACTTTTATTCATCGTTACGCTATGGGTTTTCAAAACAAGTGCTATGCAAGTTAAATGTGTACATTATTGTTGAAATTATATGGAAAAGCACATAGTGTCGTTTTTTTTCTGATGTAGAGGGTATAGGATGCAACTTAGGCATTATGAGGTTCGATAATTTGCTGGGTATTTAACTGTAACAATTTGAATTCTAATTTCATAACACCCAAGGTTTAGAACCACCTTTTTCATTACTTCACATGATGGTTGATGACATTGACCTGCCAATATCCAATAAAACATGTAAATACAATTAATACAAATCTAGTATTCTTTTTAAGAGCAGCAGCAGCAGCCTGGCTAGCCGTCAGTGTGTCAGGAGGAGCTCTGCAGTAAACGTGTCCGTTCGACCCTCACCATGTCCGCTTGTTGTCAAAGAACAGCACCAGGTACAGCCTCTCGTTGGCTTCCTCCTGCCTCTGCTCTCCCAGACAGAGGACTTCTTTGGGGGGGACAGGGATGGGCACCCCGTTGTGCAGCATGCCCTCCTCGGGCATCTCTGGGTCGATGATCTGGAACCGACACATAGTCAGTCTCACAAGAAATGTAAGTCTGTTTAGCACTGCACTCACACAGCCATTCTCTTCCTATTTCAGTTTCTACATCGGTTTAAATCACCATCAAGCTCACTTATATAAATGTTGCAAAAGGGGCATACAGTATTTAAGAGCTAGACTTAATAGTGATATTATGGAGAGCAGTATGTCAAAAAAGTAGCATGCCATAAAATAAGTCAAATTATTATATGTGAGAAAAAAACAACGTTAATGCTTGCATTAAATCCTGAATCTCAACGCGGTATTTTTTTTATTAATGCAAATCAATCACAATACCAATTTTGGATTTACCATAAATTGCATGGAAGTGAAAAGGCAAAGAAAGCAAAGGAACTGGCTCAGTCTTAGTGCACTGACTGGAGACCACTGGACATCCATAAGGAAACATTTGTGACAAGAAAGTCATACTATAGTAAATAAAAATGCGTAATATATCCTAAAAAGTCATTAATGTATGAAAAAAAGTTATTAAAAAAGTAATAGTTGCGGGCCGCCTGGTATTGGTAGAGCTGGCGGCCTTTTTTCCTGCCTGTCATCCCCTCTATAACCCTGTTTCCATTCTGTCTCTACAATAAAGGCAAACAATCTAAACAAGTAATAGTCTTATGTCATAAACAGTCATAGTAGTATAAGGATTTACCAGAGCAGGGTAGGAGGGGTACCCCCGACACTTGGCCCACACCAGATCCAGAGGCTCCAGCTCCGTCCCATCATCGGACACCTGGCTGCTGTTCCCTGCAGCAGCAACATATATTTATTAAAAAGAAGAACATTTACGGGACACATGTCATTTCTTTTGAGGCCAAAGTGTTTGGTTTTGATGTTTTGTTAGCAAAATGGAGGGACAAAAGGGTGACATACAATCTTATACAGCAGGGAAAAACATACCAGTGTAGTCTGTGTCTCCATTGACTATATCCAGAAAGGGAACTTTGGAAAGAGCTGGTTTCCCGAGGCTCCGTTTGGGTGGAGAGCAGCTGTAACACGGCACATCGTACTGTTATTGTATTTTAATCATTACCATCACCACACAGCCACTGACAGCAGATATGTCACGTCTTACATTTCTTTGAGCAGGACTGGACAAGGGCTGTACTCAGAGTCGGACCCGCCGTCTTTGTGCTTGTTGAAGCCGTTTGTTAGTCCTGAAAGCAAATGAGAAAAATCTCAGAAAACCAGGAGGTAAAAACAGTTACGGGCACATCCAAGCGCAGCAATCTTGAATCTCATATCAGTAGCAAGGAAAACAACACAGCATTACCGTCATATACAAAAAGAATACAGCACACTATAAACACAGATAAGTGTAAGGGTAGAGGGAGCTTTTGTTTTGATGATTTGGTAAACTTAAATGAACAGAAACGAGTTCCTGTTCTGTGACTAGGTAACAAGAGGATGCAAACCTGATGTGATGAACAAAACATTTAAATGGCTAAAATACAAGTTACAGACTGCTTCTTTATCTTTTTAACGAGCGACGACAAGCCTGTTTTTAAAGCAAACATGTAGCTACATTTAGCTTTACTTAGAAGGGAAACTGTAGCATCTGCAACGTACATTTCATTCATTACTTCACTTTGCCCTCAGATATTATATAGGACATGTTCACTGGTAGCAAACAATACATACAAGAGTTTCTAACACAGCGATGTTAAACCAATGTAACAAAGTAAAGCCTCTCACCCCGTTCCAGTGTATGGTTTGGCGTCTTCTCTAGCTCACTATCTGAGCCCATATTTCGACTGGGGGTCCGTTGTTCATTGAGGGTGGGGGGTCCGGGGCTTTTCTGTGGGGTCTTGGATGGAGTGGACAAAGGTGTAGAGGCTGGGGTACTGGCTGTGGAGTTGGGGGCTGTAGGGGCGTCCTGCGGCCCCTTCCCGTTCAGCAGAGGATTGTCTCTCTCTCTGAACAGCTTCGCTCCATTTTTTGCCTTCTTGAACAATACAGAGGTTCGTCGGCCGACTCCCCCAGTGGTGGGCCGCGGGGGGGAGCTGAGCTCAGGCAGGCCATTGACCACCGCCTGTCCTTCGCTGTGCAAAATGGGTGGGGGCGACGCCGGCCGCTCCTGTGCTTTCGTGCAATTCAAGTTCTCTGTGGTGCCGTCTGAGGGCTCACATTCCATCTTGAGGCGTTTGCAGGCCCAGTTGGAGGGCTGGTGCTCCCCTGTGATTGGCCGCAGGGTGGGAGGCCCCAGATGTGCGTCTCCGCAGCGTGGAGGCGGAGCCGGCCCTGTTGGCTCCAGTTTTGGGGGAGAAGTGGATTTGACGTCTTCTAGAAGATAAGGAAGAAAAAAAAATCAACTCAAATTTCACTCAGCGTTAATTTCAAATGAATGTCCATTTAGTATGTAGTGTGATGTGGTGGTGTAGTTTGCACATGGTGTCACTTCATAATGGGTTACACTTTCATTCTAACAGTCTAACCAGAGCCCAAAGGGAGTTGGGGCGTTCTGTAGATATGGACGAGCTTATCAAGACGAGTGAATATTAACTTTGCTCTCACAACTGTACACCAGCAACATGGTAACATGGCAGTATTTAATGACTGACACAAATCACAGGTGTTCTGCCCACCTCCTCTACGGCAGCAAGAGACTGTTTGACTGGAGCAGTCTGGAGTCAGAAGTGGGATGACATGGCATGACTGTACGTGGCCAATGGAGAGTGGTGAGTCCATGAGAGTGAAGTATAGAAGGTGCAGACATAGAGTGCACTGGGAGAGAGGAGTTGTGAGGCAGCCATGGCTAACGAGACTCTGTGGGCCCCTACTTACTAGACTGGAGACAGTGGGGTGGTTGGGGTTGGTGCGTGGGGGGGACCCTGGCTCAATTACCTGAGGACAATGTTCTGTTAGCTCATGTTTACAACTGGTCTCATAAAAAAAAAGAAAAAAGAAAAAAAGAAAAAAAAGAGGCTTTAAAAATGTTCATGCATTGGCAATGTTCATACTGTTGATGTGCTTTTCATCACCCACCTTTGTCCGAAGACGAAAGGCTGTTGTCTGCCTTGGCATCTTTGTCGTCATCTTCCTCCTCATCCTCGTCCTCATCCTCTTCCTTCAGATGACCGTTGAGGAGGCTGTGGCGGGAGGGTTGGCCCTGCCTGTGGCGGATGTTGTTGATCTCCCGACGGAGCAGGCGGATGCGTCGGGTTCGGGCACCGCTGCATCGCATGGAGGAGACAAAGTCCATCTTTTCTAGCAGCTCCTTCAGCTGCTCCTCCACGGTCATGTGAAGCCGGTTGTCTGGGTCCAACACACTGTCAACTGCACACAACAGGACACAAACATGAGTTTAACACTGGTAGTGTGCTAAAGAGCAAATCATTTGAAAACAAGAAATCTATTATCTCTGATGAACCAACTCACTACTGCAATAAAAGGTACTTCTACATCACTTTTCAGTTTGCCAAAGCTAGGTAAACTGTCTAAAGACACAGTATATTGTGAATTCTTGATTGGCATATTTAAACCTGCCAGTACAAAATGTATATTATGATTATACATGTTTAAATAATTACACATCAGTAAATTGAAGAAGATTGATACAAGACCACAGATCCCAAACAGATTCTATGTGGAAACAGTTTTTAGAAAAAGAAGACCCAGTTAAATATACAACCTCCTGCAATCTTGTCAAAAAAAAAGTTTAAATTGTATACCATATCTGAAACTGAATCCAAGCTGAATTGAATTCTGATCTCATTAAATCAACTTTGTGTTTTGTTGCATTATTGTTGAAAATAAATATTTTTCTTAAATGCACTGGACTAGACCTTACATCCATGTATGTATCATATCATATGAGAGGAATACAGTATATACAGACCCCTATCTAAAGAACAAATGGTGTTAACATCTCATGTGTATTTCCAGCACTGTGACTCACCATCCTCCCAGGTGCAGCTGTAAAAGTCTCGTTTCTGCGGCAACTCTAGGAGGTGCATGCCGGTGTTCAGGTCCAGGCCGGTGTTGGTGGCTTGGCGCTGGGCGTGACGCAGTACGGCTCCCCCTAAGTCTCTGAGACGTAGCCCTACCCGATGGAAAACGGTGTCCTTCCCGTTGTAGAGGAGGCAGTTGGACACCATCAAGTTGAAGTCGGTCTCCAGGTCAGACACTGAGCGGTAGGCGTGACTCTCAAGCTTAGAGCGCATGGTGGAAAAGTCCATGGGCTGGCTGATGAACTCCGGGTAGTCTGGGACCTGAGGGGAGACATAACTCCAGTTACTGAGAGGAATGGACACGTATTGGTAGGAACAAATACAAATGAGTTCAAGTGTAAATAATAGGACAGGTGGAAAAGGCTATCGATGGATGAGGTGCTACATCGGGCATCCTTGATCCAGGAAGTGAAAGTCCCATTCACCCCCACCCCTACAAATGTCACATAACTTACAGGTGCAGTGCTTTGGCAGCTTTGATGGGCAAGAAACTCACCCAGTAAAATTGTCAATATAAAAGATAAAGAACTATATTATAAAATATCTGGTTCTGGCTAAGAAGATTGACTATACTTTGCCTAAAAGTGGAAAAAGGTAAATGGCTTTCTACAAGGTATCATTTCATAACCATGAATTAAATGATTCATGTGCACCTCGAATGGAAATAAAGAGTATGCTGTTGAGATAACTGATTTACAATGTGTGGCTTAAATCTGTTCACTTTAAATATCTGGGTTAAATCTGGGTGAATACGGCAACTATGATGACGCGTTTCTTTCTAATTTGCCTGAATGAAGGTAAGATTTACAGAGGGGAAAGAACATACACCTATATGGTCTTAACATTATCTAGGATATTGAAAAGTTTCTCTGATAAGTAAGACGGAGCATGTCAATTATGGACCTGGTGACGACATTACCTATTGACGCAGCAACCACTGTAAGTTATATTCTTGTTTAATTAGACTTCTCGGTTTCATTTATTCGACTCTGTATAATTGTTACTGTAGCTTAAACGGCTAAATCGCTTTTGAGAGATTTTAAATCTCAGATCTGCTCAGGCGAAACCTGCTTTACAGCTCTCAGCACTCAAGCCTGCATTATTAACATAGGCAGGGCCAGTCTATTGTCGCCCATCAGCTGTAGATAGTTAACTAATTAACTTCAGCTGTGAGAACTGAGCAATCAGGCGTCCATTTCGGGTAGCTCTTTCCTGGAGCGTCAGCTTCAGCGGCAGACAGGCTAAGACTGACAAAGACATTAGAGTCCTACAGGAGTAAGACTGACAAAGACATTAGAGTCCTACAGGAGTCACGAGGGAGGCAAAGAGGAGGCAAATCCTACTTTGATTGAGCTAAGTATCGTTGGTGTTTTTAATTTTTAATTTTGTTGTTTAGCCCCTCATGCTATAATCATGTGTATTTTCTCCATTCCTGTTCATGTGTCTTCTCGCAATTATCACTGGCCCCGTGTATCTCGTAATCGATATAACCGGCCTGCTCTCGTCTATCCCACATGCTCCACTGAGATCCAACATCTAGTTTCAGGTGGCCTGTGGAACTGCCAGTCAGCTGTTCCTAAGGCTGACTTCATCTCTGGCTACGCCTCCCTGCAGTCTCTGGATTTCCTTGCTCTCACTGAGACCTGGATTACTCCATCCAACACATCCACCCCAGCAGCTCTCTCCACTGCATATTCCTTCTCCCATACACCCAGACCCACTGGCAGAGGAGGTGGCACTGGTCTCCTGCTCTCTCCCAAATGGAGCTTTTCCCTCTTCAAGCTACCTAACTTCACTCCTTCCACCTTTGAATTCCATGCCGTCACATTAACCCATCCTATACAGTTAACCATTGTTGTTCTCTACCGTCCACCAGGCGCCTTGGGGGACTTCTTGGAGGAATTAGATCATCTCCTCTCACACATCCCTGAAACTGGCCCTCCCGCTGTACTTCTCGGAGACTTCAACCTCCAGATGGGGAAGATAGACGAACTAACATCTCTGTTAACCGCCTTTGCTTTCTCACTCTCTCCGTCCCCATCGACTCATAAAGCTGGCAATGTCCTTGATCTCATATTCTCAAGGAACTGCGCTACTTCTAACCTCTCTGTAAACCCGCTCCACACATCCGATCACTTCTTCATTTCATTCTCTCTATCCCTTTCCAAACATAACAAACTAATCTCTTCCCATCCTACACTTGTCCGCCGTAACCTTCGCTCCCTCTCTCCCTCTACCTTTGCCTCGTCGGTGCTCTCAGCCCTCCCTTCCTCTGATTCGTTCCAACTACTGCCTCCAAACTCTGCTGCAGAAACTCTCCTCTCTACTCTCTCATCCACTCTGGACTCGCTCTGTCCTCTGACATCTCGGCAGGCTCGTCAGTCCCCTCCGGCTCCCTGGCTAAATGATGCACTGCGTGCTAATAGAACCGTCCTTAGGGCAGCAGAGCGGAAATGGTGGAAATCCAAACACCGTGACGACCTCCTAACCTATCAGGCTCTCCTCTCCTCTTTCTCTGCTTCGATCTCTCAGGCAAAAAGCACTTTCTTTCAAGATAAGATCCAATCTTCCTATTCCAATCCTAAAAAACTATTTTCCATCTTCTCCACCCTCTTGGACCCTCCAAAAGCTCCTCCCCCCTCCTCACTTCTGTCAAGCGACTTTGTTACCCACTTTGAAAAAAAGGTTAATGATATTCGCTCTTCTTTTTCTGACTCACCTTTACTCACCGCTGGGTCACCAGACCTTCCTTCCACCAACACACTAACCTCCTTTTCCCCTCTCTCTCCAAGTGAGGTTCTTACCCTCATTACCTCTGCCCGCCCTACCACCTGTCCTCTGGACCCTATCCCTTCAAACCTCCTTCAGACTATCGCTCCTGATATTCTACCGTTTCTCACCCATTTCATCAACACTTCTCTAACTTCTGGTCACTTTCCAAACAGTCTCAAGGAGGCAAGAGTAAACCCTCTCCTAAAGAAACCCACTCTTAACCCGTCTGATGTTATAAACTACAGGCCTGTCTCTCTCCTCCCGTTCCTGTCTAAATCACTTGAACGCACTGTCTTTAAACAACTCTCCTGTTATCTCAATCAGAACAACCTTCTGGATCCGCACCAGTCTGGTTTCAAGGCAGGTCACTCCACAGAAACTGCTCTCATTGCTGTCACGGAGGAACTGCACACTGCCAAAACTGCATCCCTCTCCTCTGTCATCATCCTGTTGGACCTGTCTGCTGCATTCGACACGGTGAATCATCAGATCCTCCTTCGCACTCTCCAAAAACTTGGAGTTTCAGGCTCTGCACTTTCCCTCCTCACCTCATACCTGAAAGACCGTACCTACAGGGTGACTTGGAGAGGGTCTGAGTCCGACCCTTGTCAATTAACTACGGGGGTCCCTCAGGGCTCGGTTCTTGGTCCCCTCCTCTTCTCCTTGTACACAAACTCGCTCGGATCAGTCATTAGCCCGCATGGTTTTTCTTACCACTGCTACGCTGACGACACCCAATTAATTCTGTCCTTTCCCCGCTCAGAGACCCAGGTCGTCGCACGCATCTCTGCTTGTCTAGCTGACATCTCTCAGTGGATGTCTGCTCACCACCTCAAGCTCAACCTTGACAAGACTGAGCTGCTCTTCCTCCCGGGAAAAGATTGTCCAACTCTTGACCTGACAATCAACATCGGCACCTCAGTTGTTTCCCCGACTCAGACTGCAAGGAATCTGGGTGTGACCCTAGATAACAACCTGTCCTTCACTGCAAACATCGCTGCTACAACCCGTTGCTGCAGATACACGCTTTACAACCCGTTGCTGCAGATACACGCTTTACAACATCAGGAAGATACGTCCCCAGCTGACTCAGAAAGCGACTCAGGTTCTGGTCCAGGCTCTCGTCATCTCACGCCTAGACTACTGCAACTCCCTCCTGGCTGGTCTACCTGCATGTGCCATCCGACCTCTGCAGCTCATCCAGAATGCAGCGGCTCGTCTGGTTTTCAACCTTCCTAAATTCTCCCACACCACTCCGCTCCTCCGCTCCCTTCACTGGCTTCCGGTAACTGCTAGAATCCACTTCAAGACACTGGTACTTTCTTACCGTGCTGCGAATGGATCTGGCCCTTCCTACATCCAGGACATGGTTAAACCGTACACCCCAGCGCGTGCACTACGCTCTGCATCAGCCAAACGACTCGTTGCGCCCTCGCTGCGAGGGGGACCCAAGTTCCCATCGGCGAAAACACGTGGGTTTGCTGTCCTGGCTCCAAGATGGTGGAATGAGCTCCCCATTGACATCAGGACGGCAGATAGCTTGCACATCTTCCGGCGCAAACTGAAAACTCATCTCTTTCGACTCCACTTCGAGCGTTAGAACGATTAACGAAGCACTTTTATACTAATAAAGGGCTGGCTTATCTAAAGCCAGTTGAGTAGCACTTGAAATGTTTGGCTCTATGAAACCTGATATACTTATATGATTCTGTTTTCTTCAAGGTTGTGTCTTCCTGGTCGAATGTACTTATTGTAAGTCGCTTTGGATAAAAGCGTCAGCTAAATGCAATGTAATGTAATGTAATGTAATTAAATAAAAAATGTCATTCCACGTCACAACTCTATACATCCCGTTTGCATACATCTGTACTTTGGCAATAGGTATTGAAGCAGTGTAATGTCTGACCTCTTTGATGTTCACTGGCTCTGCAAAGATCTCGGGTGTGTCCTTCTCCTGTAGTTGGTCCAGAGTGGAGCGGAGCAGCATCAACATTGGGGTCAACTGCATCTGAAGAGCTTCTTGGTGAACTTTGACCTGCAGTTGCGAGGGGATAAGCATTCGACGTCACCATATGTGAAAGTTGAAACAAGTTTTATATAGCCTAAATGCTAAAGGGAAGGGACGCAGTGTGGGGCGATACTTGTGAGGGAAACTAGCCAATTGTTTTTTGTAAGAGACAGTACATTATCTATTTCTACAAAGATGTCCAAAGCAGACCAGAATATCAAGTTGTGTTTACATCTGGTCACATTTCAACATCCAAAGACCACTGGAGGTCCAGTACATCATCTGTATAATTGACTGCTTATAAAATAAAAAATATATTTGTTTCCTGATGCTTGTAAATAGGTAACAGATACATTAACAAACATAACAATGAAATACAGTTATGGCGCGTTTCCACTGCAGCGGGTAGCTCCCTTTAAGCGTGCCGAGCCGTGCGGGGCCGTTTTTGGTTGCGTTTCCACTTGGCCTAGTACCGGCTAGCGGGTCCTAATTCACAGTTTTTCTGGCCCCATAAAATCGTGGTTCTAGGGCCAGGAACAACCAGGCTGAGTCGGGCTGAGTATGCTAAACTAGAGAGAGAATCGCTGGCAAGGGGGCTACAACTACAACAAGATGAACATATTCAGGGTTCTTACACCTTTTCCAAAGTCAAATTCAAGCACTTTTCAAGCATTTTCAAGGTTCATTTTCCAGCAGCTTACAGCTGTTGTAAATTACATATTTATATACACATACTCAAATGATTATTTCCCTACCTCACATTAAATCAGATGTTCTTTATGCTATAAACAACCAAATGTGTGTTTTGTGATAGCCTTCTACACGAGGATGAAAAATTAAAGAAAAGAAAACTAAGTTTAATATTTCAAAATGAGTGATCTGTACGTAGACTGGGCATCCCATATAACCTGGCTGAGCCGATATACAACAATCAGCCAAATAACTTTTCAATACATTATTGATTACTATTTTTGAAGTACTTTTAGGTTGGCAGTGAACATAAATCAGAGGTACATGGTGTACTTTTCCTTCACTACATGTATTTAATACCTTTAGTTACTTCACAGATGTGGATGGTGTGAAATATAACCAAGTGTTGAATCAGACTTTAGTTCCACCTGGAGTAAATCCACAAGCTACCCTGCAGTATACAAAGTCATTTAAACTAGCTGCACCTTTACCAGCTTTGAGAACACTTTCATGATCAATCATTATAAAACATATCATATATATTATTCTGAAATGGACCAATCTGCACAATGAATACCTTTACTGTCGCTACTTTCACTATATTTTGATGATAATACTTTTCTACTTTTTACTTGAGGAACATTTTGAGTGCAGGACTTTTACTGTAACAGAGTATTCCTACACTCTGGTACTTCTACTTTTACTCAAGTACAAGATCTGAGTACTTCTACTTTTACTCAAGTACAAGATCTGAGTACTTATTCCACCTCTGGTAGTGTATTAGTCTGAATTGTAGCCACAAAATCACACAGAGCTGCATACAAATAGACTCACAATGGTAACAAGTGGAAAATAATATTTACAAATGTGTACAATGATTTGTAGGTAATTTTGACTACTCAAGACACCTGACTTATACATCTTCAAAGGAAGACTGTGTTCATTCTACAATTACATGGGATTAAAGCAACATGTAGTTTTACTTGTATAATACTTCAATTTTATATAAAAGACAGTTTGTTTTCATCTGTTTTCAAATAAACAAAGTATTGGCTTTCAGAATATTAAACTTGTTTCGGCAAATTCAGATGATAAAAACAACTTTGAAGCTTCGGCATAATTACAAGCAAAGAACGGACTGATGTAACTTCACAGCAAGCATAACAACAGCCGGTGTTTCTTGTGAGTGTTTCCCTGGTACACAAACACACTCGCGAGCTTCCCCCAGACCAGTAATACAAACGAAAATGTGTCTTCGGGTCAATGTGACTGATTTCGATGGAGCAAGTTACATTTGGTTTAGGCACGAAACATACTACCAGTAGAAATACATTGCTTTCAAAATCGCTCTGTGTCGAATCAATAGATTATATTTCGTGACTATAACACGAAATGCCGTGAGTGCTTCATCCTCTGAACACCACACGATGGCGACTGTAACGCACATAACATAGGTACGCTCCTCTGAAATGTTCGTCCCCTGCAATTATTATTATTATCCCTCAATCGAGTTCGCTATTCAGCTCGCTAACGTTAGCTTAAACAAACGTAACATGCAACGTTAGCCTAATCTAAAATGCTCTACTACGGCGTACCTTTCATGTGGCTCGTCAGCGCAGACTCTCGCATCGTTATTTTTGCAAACTTTGCAGGAGGCTACTCGTGGGCTTGACCCTCGTCTTAGCCATGGCTTGTATTTGTCTTCTGCTAGCCAACGCTCGTTGAAACGGCAACCTCCTGGCACACAGTCATCTATCACTCTCATCAGAATGCCCAGGTCACACGTAACACAAACACTTGCAGGTCGCGCGCATAGCGCGGGAAGGTGCAGCGGAGCTGTTTTATGTAGAAGCGAAGCAATTCTTTTCTTTTAATCTAAAAAGCGAACTATTCAGTCAGACAGCAATTTATTGTAAAAGTAAAGCATTTACATTTTCAAGCACTTTATCTCAATTTCAAGCAACATTCCCAAAATGCAAGCACTTTCCCAACCTTGAAAACACCACCTCAAATTTCAAGCATTTTCAAGTTTTTCAAGCACCCGTACGAACCCTGCATATTTTACTGTGATTTAATTGCAATACACGTTTCAAAATGATGCCGAAGTAACAACATACTGATACCGGTTAGTAAAAACCATGAATTAATGCTTTGACAAGTCTGCAGACAGACGGCAGGCGAAAAACCCTTTTAAAATGCGTGTTTTCTAAATGGAGCTTGGCTAAGCTAACGTTGTATATGCTCCGACCGTCCACACTCACAACAACGGCCTATACAGACATAAATAAACCAGCGACTGTATTCGCCATGACACAGGCAGTCTGTGGTTTGTACTTGTTTAACTTTTGTCTAGTTTCTGAACAGATATGAAGAGCTGTGAGCTCTGAGTGCTAACAGCTAACGGCTGTGTTGTTTTTCTGGGGCGCTCATTGAAGATGACGTCACGGCTCCGCCTACACTGCGTTACTATAGTAACTACCCCAGTTCCTAAACTGTAATGGAAGCGCAGCATTAAAGTGAGCCGGGCCTAATAAGGCCTAACCAAACCGAGCAAGGCCGAGCGAGGCCGAGCGAGGCCGAGCGAGGCCTGCAGTGGAAACGCGCCATTAGTTGCCTGTGAGTGTTTGATATTCATATGTCACCTGTTCCCGTTTGAGTTTCTCCCTCTTTCGGATGAGCTCCACCAACAGCCTGGCTTTTTCAAGATCATGCCGCAGCTTCTGCCAGTACCTCAGTGCTTCTCTGGCAGCAGAAACCTTCTCATCCACCTCGGGCTACCAAGTACACAAATAACATTTATTATTTTCAGCTCTGTTGTATAGTGACTGTATCAGAGATGTAACTAAGGGCATTCAATGCATTTTGGAAATAGTTGGGTTATAAAAATGTGAAGCAACACAAATCACCAATTATGGTAGTACAGAAAATGTCACAGAGTGTAGAACAATGTGCGGCCCTGACCTGTTCAGTAATCCTTTGGGATTGGACATTAGAGTGCATACACCGAATCAGCGGCACACCGTTCCTGGACTGACGTTTCAGCAGCCAGTAGTTATGCAGCCTATGGGTGAACTGGTTTTTCCTTTGAAAGAGAATTCCTTTACAGATGATATTCAGCCTGTACAAAAGAGATGGATGCAAGGGGTCTTACTTTCAACAAGACAGACAACAGATTATGCATCTCCAAAGAAAAATTTGTATTTGTGTATTTAAATTAGCAAGCAGAACAAAAAAACATTTCATTTTAGTTGACCAACTGACAACATGTTGTTGTATTAAAAAATAAATCCAACCTGCTTGTGGGTATCTGAGGCACTGTGGCTTGTGGTGATGAACTTTGTTGCGCTATTGCCTCTGCGCCCTTCTTCCCTTTCTTTTTGTCATTCTTGGCACCATCTTCCGACTTCCTGCCTTTTTTCGGTGTAACAGGGCCATCTGTGTAGGCACTCCGTCCTCTACTGGCCCTCCCCCTGCTGCCCACCACTCTTCCTTCACTCTCCTCATCTGAGACGGCCTCTTGTCCAGGAGGTGAATGGGCCACACAGAACGCAGTCTTCTTAACAGAAAACGTTGTCCCGTGAACGTTTGTCTCTCGCACAGGATCGATCTTCATAAACAGGCCAGCGCGCTGAGCACATGTGACGTGAAACGCAGTGTAACAGTTGGCCTTGTGGCACTGAATTGATGCACCACGGCCCTTCTGTTTGCACAGGTAGCATGTCAGTTTCCAGCGTGCCGGGGGGATGTTACTAACCCCTTCTATTGGTTCTAGAAAAACTGTATTGGCAAAGCACACTTCAGGGATCCAGATGGCACAGACCACATGAGCCCAGCGTCCGTCACTTGTTTGCTTGAATGCACCACCACGGTTCGGACATAGAACACAGTCAACAGGTTTCTGAGGGGACTGGAGGCAGCAGCGGCAGAGCCACTGGCCCTCAGGGATGTAGGGAACACCGTAACACTCCTGGTGCACAGCCAGGTTGCAGGAGTCACAGAAAAGGATAACATTGCTGTTGAGGCACTCATCATCCAGGCACACGCAGCAGAAGGCATCGTCGTCAATAGCACTCTGGGAGGGCGCCCGGCTGCGGGCTTCCCGGTACGCCTCCTCCTCTAGTCGGTCAACAAGCAGCTCAAAAGTGTCCGGTTTGACAGCTGAGTATCCCGCCGACGTCCGGCCGGCATTGACCATCTCCAGCCAGGCGGTGTCCTCGTCGTCCATGTCATATTGTGCCTCAGCTTCCTGATCCTCAGCTGAGCGCTCAATGTAGCGGTAATATGCCGCAGGTAGAGGAGGAGCCTCGACCGGTTTGAAGGTTTCTAGCACATGAAACTTAGGTTCAGGGAGAGTCATGTGCTGATGGTGTGATGCATTTAACTTTTCTGGTGTTTGGGGATGAGAATTGGTACAGTGGTTTTTGGAAGGCGATTTGACAGGACATTTGGAGTCTTTCCTGCGTCCTCGGGGTGTGGGGGGTTTGCGGACACTGCTGGTGGGAGATGATGACTGCTCACTGTTCTCCTTGTTGCTGTTACACTCACTTATGTCCTGAGCCATCATCTCATCATCGGTAATGACCTCGAGAGGCTCCAGAATAGAAATGCGGTGAAGCCTACCATCTAGTTCCACCTCTACTACCTTTTGGGCCTGGGTGTAAGAAAGGGTTTCTCTGCTCGGAGATGCCTTGAGGCTGTAAGGGGATGGAGATCGCTGGCGGGCACCCCCACGCCCGCCAACCGTCCCATTGGACTTCCTGACATCAGCCCCACTTCCTGCGGCCACCTGGCCTTTACGACGTGGCTTCCTCATAGGCCACCAATCACAATTTACCTCCTGTAGGTTTAAAAGCAGAAATAATAATATGAGAAAACATTATTGTCAGTCTGTTAATAATAATAATAATAATAGACATAACATATTCTGAACAACATTAAGCATTTCATGATGAATTGTAGATTATTATGTCATAATTGTGAAGCAAACTTGTATTCTTATTTAGTTAGACTTATTGAACAGCTTTAATCCCCCTTGTGTTCCTAATATATTTACAGAAATAAGCAATATCTAATGCCATTGCCACAACGACGGTATGAAACTGAAATATGAACAGCTTTCATGCCTTCTTGACATATTAAGTCATTCAAAACATCCCTGTCATAGTTTGAATGTTGCTGCACAGTGTTATTAGGCAGGGCTGGTGTAAACATTCCTTCACACACCTCAACTCGCACAACTCTTTACTCACTCAATCCAAGTGGCTACATTAATAGATCGATGCATTGACAGCTGAACACTGCCAAACGTTTCACTGACAGTAAACACATGGCAAATAAAAATATGATATGTAGATCATTCTTGACTTTATCTCATAAACTGTTGGCAACTACTATCAGGGCTAGGCACAACGCAATAAGCGCATCCAATCAGCTTTGAGGAAGAATTGACTGATCCTCGTCTGAGCCAATCAGCTTTAAGAATACTGCGGTCTCAACAGAACAGTGTCCTTATTTCGAGCGTAAAATGTCAGCCATATTTACAGTTTAAAAACACTATAAAAAGCTCTTCTTTAGATTCATTTAAACTACATATTTGGAATGCCGATGCAGTGCTTTGTATTGTCAAGTCGGGATGAAAAAGGAACATCATTGTGACAGTATTTCCGTACGTTACTCTGGTAAAAAAAAGTGCCAAGAGAAGTAGTCAAAGATATCAGCTAGCTAACCTGCTAACTTTAAAAGATTGGCATAACTAACATTATCTGACTCGTTATATTTTGCCATAGTCAAGGCGCATAACAACTTAAACCGTTGCTAGGTTAAAAGGGGATTAACCGTTTTAAGCCTCTCTTTAATAAATAAACAGTGCGTAGCAAACTTAAACCATCTTACCTATTATGGCAACTGACTGACACAGGTAGCTCGACAGCCGGCGGTCTGAAGCCGCTTCTACAGTAATGGTTGACCAGCCAGCCGCCTTACTTGCTGTACTCTCGAAGCTACTAGCTACCGTTAGCCAGCTACAGTTTACTGGCAGCGCCGGTGAATATAGCTATTTTATACCGCCTCCGTTTCTTCACAAGACGGCGTTTGGGAGTCAATCCCAAAGGCTTACTGAGAACACGAGCGGCACATTTGCATTAATAACATGAATAACAGCGTTTTGTCGACTTAATTTTGTGAGAAGGAGAGATTGTAGCCCCCTTCGGCTAGCTGGCTAGCTATTTGGGATCCTGAGTATGTACACCGACATTAGCAAGAATAAAATCATAGGACTTCCGGGTAAATGTTTCAAAATAAAGTCCTTATTGGCACATTAAGTGTTTGAATGTTTCACGATTAGAACAACTCAAAATAAGACGACATTTAATTACACTTATTTTTTCCCTCCTGCCAGCATATCCTTACCCCAGTATATTATTGGAATAGAGTCAAAATAAATGAATGTTGTTTTTATGATACATGTGGTTGTTGTAATTTACTTTAAATCACTCGTATAATGCACTCATATTACGTTTTGATTGTATTAAGTTTTCTTTTGAAATGTCCAATGTAAATAACTTTCAAATAAAGTAGAACTTTAAAGGGTCTTAATGAAAGAAATGCGCAAAATGAGTTCTCATGATATATTTTATTGTCACGGCGAAACAGCCTACTTCCGCATTAATGTTAACTTCATAACAGCAGTTTGCTAAAAGTTTAGCCCGCCCCTTTGACATGACCAGGCCATGATTTTCGCGCGCAAGATACTCAACAGTGCCATGACAGACCAGTCAGGTATTGGTGTTTCTTTCTGTATTCTAAATGTGCAACCCTTACCCTAAAGAGTATTCTAAATGTGTACCCCTTAGCCTAAAGAATATTATAAATCATGAAGCAGTCTTTTTAATGTACCAGCCAAGTCATTACATATTTAAAATCTTATGGTTTGGTGTACAATTAAAGAAGTTATAATAGAGCATATTTAGCAGAGACATGAATACACACTACTTGTTGTTCTCAATATCATGCACCTTATTGGCTACCAATTCCAGGTAACATTGAGTACATTTCACACAGTAGGCTAACTGCTAATATTTTGGGGTCTTAGCTCGTTAGGAGTTTCAGTTTTCAGGGCATTTATTGGCGAAACCCAGACTTGTCCCTCGATGATTATTTAATATAGAACGTATAACAAAGCTGTTTTCACCTCAAGAACAAAAATGAGAACATATCTTGTTTTATTGGAAAACAACATTACAGTAAATCTTACAGTAAACCCTGTGATATTTGGTCACAATACATTTGCCAGGCAACTCACTGATAAGGATTGTGTAACATGAAGGGAAATCCACACTTGGGAAATAATTGCACAAAAATAAAAAGTTGTGAGTTTTAATAAAATCCCTCCTCTGAACACTGATTCAAAATATAAACATATCCAGGGTAAAAGTGAATTCATGGCTGCAATATACAAGGGCACCATTGGCTGTATGTGTTCTAGGTTGGGACATCAGTAGTTACAAGACATTCATTGGGTCACGGAGTCATAGTCAGGGTATTTTTTCTCTTGGAGTCCCGTCGTGCGAACGGCACAAAGCTTTTCACCTCTTTGAAGCACAACCCTGTGGGCGCAGAGGAAAAACATTTATTTTTGTTATGTCCAGCATGTCCCCATTTCAACAGAAATCCATTATAAGGCATATTCATTCTTAACAACAATTATACATAGCAAGTGATACAGGGAAATATTTGATTAAGTTTGAAGAATGGTTGTATAAGGTATTTATCCATAGTTTGTAATAATGGCGGTCGGCACATCCCCAGTTTGGAGAAGCGGAAACTATTTACTGCTGTGAATTGGGCAGCAGCAAGACATATTTTATTCCCATAATTCTATCAAAATGTTGAATATTTTCACGGCTTTATTTTTACGTGTTGACAGTAATTGTTCCCTGCTTTAATCAGAAGTTGCTGGTCCGTTGCTTACTGGTTGGTTTGTTTCTGTGATTGCGAAAATGTGATGTTTTAAAGTGTTGATTCTCATTCATCAAAGTCACACAATAACACCAACAAAGGAATTGATTTGAGCCAGTAATACAACAGCAACTCCTATGTTCTGAAAGGTAAAATGACTTTTTTTGTACATGGAGTCTGTTGGCTTAGAAGAGAGAATAGCATACGGATTCAGTTTACCGTCTTAAAGGGCTGTCTGATGGCAAAATAAAGCGGTGAAAATATTCTAAATTTAGAGTTCATAAACTGATACTCTTGTTTTACAAACTAGGGGCCTACCGCCATCTACTGTTTTATTATAAGTATACAAACCAACAAACAATCCAAACTATCCTATTAACAGAAGCCCTGCAACAGGAGGTAGGTGTAGTTATAGTTGGAGTAGATGATTTAATATGGCTAACATTTACAGTTAGTTACTTCTTTTAATATTTTATAATGAGGCCATAATTGATTAGTAATGTACATTAACACTAAACAAATCTGCACATTGATTATATTATGATAGCATCTTTTAATACTCTTTTTTGCTTACGTTTCCACTCATCCAGGGTCAATGTGGCATTGTCATGGCTGTCATCGTATGGCTTGGGTAAAGGTAAGTCGTCTGGGTCTCTTAGGCCGTCGAAATATGGGTGCTCCAGAGCTAGCTCTGCTGTAAGTCTCTCGTCCCCGTCCAGAACCAACATCTTCTCCAGCAGGTCGATCCCTGCCCACAGTAAAGGGCACAACATATTGCCACAACTTCATCAAACATAAATGCAGAACAATGTAACTGAGTGTTTTTTACTGACAATACTACAGAGAATATTATATTATACATACAAGTTCAAAGTGCTTTAGCTTGGTGTCTACATATTGTTACAGTTTAAGCTGTTTCCAAAAAGAAGAGATTCTGCTAATGCCAAGATGATCAACTAAGAGAATGTGTCCTTTTCTTGACCAACCTGAGATGTTTGGTCTCTGTGGATTACCACAGAAGCAAACTGAAACATAACCCTAGCAAAAATGTTGGTATTCATTTAAATGATATTCAACAACTATGTAATCGATAATGCCAACATTAACATTTAGCTAAATAATTGTTTAAGTGGCTCTTACAGTGTGTTAAAAGGGTGAAAATACTGTTTGTGGAGCAAAGGCTGTGTCTGAACTTACCCTTTGCACTGGCTCTGGGGAACAACGTTGAGAAGTCTTTTCTGGGATAGCGAGGAAGGGCCTTAATATAGGTTTTGGCCTGTTTTAAAAAATAAAAGATGATTAATTGATTAATGACTAATTTTTACGTCATTATAATGCAAATAAAAGTACCAGCTTCAGGCTTTATTGTTTTCATTTAGCAGACATCGTATTTTATTTTGGTTATGGACTAGAATTATTCCAATTACATGCATTTCAACTGATCAGGAACTGTGACTGAGGGAATCAATAAACTGTTTTATATTTTCCAAACAGCTATCAGCTTATGAGTAATCTACTGCTGCAGTGTGCAGGCAATATCGTTGATACTGTAAAATTCAATGACTCATTCCATAATTTAATTAACTTTGGTGACGTTGAACTGTATTGTATAGTATGGTTCTGTCTTCTTATGTCTAGGTAAGCCACACATTTTTAGATTAGTGCATGATTATGCATATTTACATAATGATTCCATGTTTTTATATATATTTAAATTTATTTTACAAATTCCTGAACAGATGAAGATTGCTTCAGATTGACTGAGACATATGTTTAAGCAGTTACTTGAGGTGCCCCATGGATTCAATAAATGTATGTTGAATGTTGATTCAATTCCATGTCTTTAAATTACTTTATGTTCCATAACTGCAACCCTCAGGACAAACCTCATACTTGTAGTCCCACCACAGGTAAAGCAAAAAGAAAAAGGCCAAATATCAGTAAGTTGTCGCGCAACCAGCTAACTGTAGATTCAAGACGTAAATATACATTTGTTGACATACACATAAGGTAGTTTGACCTACCTCTGGACTGTCCAGTTTCTGTACGAACTCTGATCCAGGAACTCCAGTTACTTTCATGATCTGAGTCAGCTGGTCCATGTCTGTAATAAAGGGTTAAAATCAAGGATTTCTTAACCAGGTAATCAATAACATCCATTCAGTAGCAGTAGAAAGTAGGATTTTCACGGAGGTCTATAAAACAGAATAATAAAATAAATTGAAAGCCACAAGTGACAGCTTTAAGACGCTATACATCAGTAAAGTGCAAAAAAGAACATCAGAAGATAATGTAAAATATGCAGAAAAAGTACGTTATACAGTGCAGTAGCAGCTGCCTTGGATGCTGCCTGAGGGAAGGGGTTTTACTGAATGTAATATACTGTGATTTGTGTTCCCTTCTGCACCTTATTTATAGTTCCCATCATCAAATAAAACTGTCAATGTTTAATAAAGTGGCTTCATCACCTTTAATATTACAATGATTGAATGAAGTGAAATTAAAACTTGATGACCTGTCTTCGGGAATCATTCAGCACATTCACATTACATTATTAAAAGGCTTTAAGTCCAGTACATGGACAGGGCTGATGAAAGGATACAGTCTCTCCCTTTGAAAAGGGTTTTTCCATTGATCATTTCTGCCATGATGCAGCCCACAGACCAGATGTCCACTAGAATGAAAAAAAAGAAAAATGTGAGTAAGCACCCAGGCAGAATACTCATTAACACAAATGTAAATTGTTTAGGTGTGAGTTGCAGTGTGTTGGAGATATGTGCTGTAGAGATGGCTGCCTTTTCTCCAATATATCCATGCACACTTCCTTCTGAGTGGTGATACGACAGACGATTGTAGTGTGGTAGAAAGTAAATAGTTCCTACATGAAACTGCTCACAACAAGGCCTTTGGATTATTTTGAGTAACTGGGACCGGATTTCTGAAAAGAAACACTGCTGTTGAGTTTTTAAATCTCAATCCAATGCATTATATTTCTTTTACATTTAAGACCAGGCAGATACTTTGACAGCAGATACATTACTCTGAAACTCACACCTAGCATTCAATATAGAACAATAGCACTACAGGTCAAATAAAAAAAACAATTTAACTCTACCTTTATGCTCAGTGCAATACAAATGAGGAAGATGGCATTTATACATCAGAGCAGGTTCCTATTCACCATAGTGCAGAATATATTGTGCTAATCTTACTAAGGGTGTCAACTCGCCAGAGTTGCTTTCTGTGCTACTTTCCATTCTGCGGGAGCTGTTTACAAAATGAAATCCCACTATCTCAT